AGGACGTGTGCGGCCTAAAGGTACAGTAAGAACCAGGATGAGGCTCTGAGAGAATCCCTGCAAGGCGTCTCTGTTTCGGATTTTCTGGCCTCAAAGCGTCACCCTCCTCGTCGCCATCCGACCCGAAAATCTCACATTTCCCGGAGGCGATTTCTGAAGGATTGTGGGGCGGCGGGGAGGTGGACGCGAGGGAGAAACGTGAGCTGAAGAGAACCAGGAGGAGGAGGAAGATAAACGAGGCTTCAACCAGAGAAATTGAAAAGAGTGAGACGGAGGAAAGCGACAGAGTCGATCACAGCCGAGTTAATCCTCAAGAAATGAGCAGTGCTGAAGGCTCGGTAGTGCAGATGCTCTCGGGGCGACTGGTGAACATCTGTATCTGTTGTGCTAACAGCTAACGTGCTAGCCAACGGGGAACATGCTGTCGTGGGAACCTGCCATCTGTCAGTTAGCAAACTGCATTAAGAGGCACTAAAAGACGTATTAAGAAGCATCGACGCCATCAATATAAAATAACGACAAATGTCACCTTTTCAGAGAGAAACGATCTCCTTGATGCCTTCTGATTCGGCACATTAATAATTGCTTTGTGAAAATGTAGCTTGGGTTTATTTAGGTTTTCATTGTCCCTTTGATGAAGTCAAATAACTGAAATCATCAATTGATTTATTGTGAGGATTCACGTTTGATCCTTTTTCCCCACTTTGTGGTTTGAAAAGAGATAATTCTGTAAAGCCATTTGGAAATTGTACAGAAATCTGAATTGTTGTTGATAAAAGTCACAAATAGGTATGATGTTAAAGAAAAATTCATTTGGATCCTAAAAATATCTAAAAAAGGACATTAAACTGAAAATACATGTTTTTACCAAAAATGATATGTTACAAAAGCAACTGAAAAATAAATAAAAACACAATATCAGTAGTGTCAGTTTAGAAAAGTAGAATTATAATAACTGTAATTTAATACCAAATTAGCAAAAATATAATAAGTCAATAATTGAATGACACATTAGTCTGTGTGTAAAACTGAGTGAAATACACATTTGATAAAACTAAAAATTAGAGCCGTTGAGCTGCTTCCTTCAGACTGAATGTGTTTCTGCTCATGGGGGCGTTGGAGCTATAAATGTAAAACGAATAGGAGATTAATCGTCCGGGGAGATGGTGTCCATCTCTGTTTGACTAAGCAGCCACGATGAAGCTAAGAACCTGCTTTGCATGTCGTACTACTGACCCTGTTCTATAATAATCTGGAGTGCAGGTGGAGACAGAGACAAGTTTAACACCAGCTAAGAGCAGGAGAGAAGATAACCAGAGCAAAGGTAAACGAGCTCCTGGCTCATGTCCTCAACACATAGAAGAGGTCGAAAGGTCAAATTAATTCCTGTTCGCCTACGGAACGACTCAGAGAGAATGGAGCCGATGGGAAAACGTTAATGACGCGGCTCGTCTCTCGGTGGCGCCAACAAGTCTAACAACAAGATGGAATAATCAATGACAGAGGCTGAAGATGAAATAATCAGTGACAGAGGCTGAAGATGAAGATGAAATAATCAGTGACAGAGGCTGAAGATGAAGATGAAATAATCAGTGACAGAGGCTGAAGATGAAGATGAAATAATCAGTGACAGAGGCTGAGGGTCACACACAGCACAAACCAGTGTGCTCAGCTGATTGACAGAACATGTGAAGGCTGCTCACTCGTCCTTTAAAATGAGCACTGTGAGGATTTGCGGATGAATCAATTAGTCAATGAGTGGTAAGTTCGTTGATGACATCCTCCAGTCCAGTTCTCAGGAATCTTTGATAAAAGATGAAATGGCAAAGAACACAAAGATCCAAAGAGGTTCATTTCACGCGGCGTTTCAGGTCTTTGAACCCAGCTGACTTTGTTAATGATTGATGAGAAAACGTCACGAGGAACCAACAACGACCGTTTTTCCGGGAGCTTTAATGAACGAAACACGACTCGACCTCCGACCCTCCTGCCTCGGCTCCTCTTACCCCCCGTTTGTTCTTTTGTCGGCCTGCCAGAGGTGACTCGTCAGGTAAAGCCCGCCCCCCCCACCTCAAACAGCTGGAGGGGGTCAGTCTCATGACGGCAGCCTCGGGCCAATCAGCGGCCACGGAGCGCTCAGCATTCCTGAGCGTTTGTTTGGTGTTGGATAACCCCGAGTCGCCCACGGGGGCCCTTTTGTTTCCCCGCGTCGTCACCTTCACCACGTCTGCGGTCAGAGAGACGACGGTCTCTGGAATTAAATAACGGGAAAGAGCCGTAAAAGGTGGACGCCGTCTCGTAAGCGCTTTTCTTCATCTCCAATCTGGAATCCAGCACATCCAGATATGGGATTTAAATCGCCACATGATTTACATCCAACACTAAAATCCTGCTTAGTTTGTGTGTGTTTTATTTTGTCCCAAAATATGGAGGCTCCATTTAATCCACTATCAATGCAAACGACCCAAGATTCTTTTCATCCGCAGCAAAGTGTTTAATAGAATTACATTTAGTTGATTGGCGTTATTATTTCAGTAACTCCTGCAGTGTCTGATGTGACCGATGTCGATTGTCCTCAAACTGGTTTTCTCATTAAAGCGCTGAACTCGCCAGAGAGAAAGGAGTTTGACTACGACTGCCTGCATAGATGCTGTATCATCATTAGGACGGGGGGGGGGGGGGGGGGGGCGTGTTGTTTGGGGTCAGTGGCGTTTGGAAGTCCCCGCCTTTGTTCGAATCTCATCAAGTGTGAAAAACGGGGGCAGGCCCGAGGCCCCGAGACCCCCCCCCCCCACCCGCCTCCACCCGATCATCCGACAGAATAAGCAAACATTCGGGAGGAGAAGCTTTAACCTTTGGGTTGATAGTTGGCAGCCGTCACTCACACGAGCAGGACGCGGTGACGCGCAAAAAATGGCGGCCAGAGTGTGTGTGTGTGTGTGTGTGTGTGAGAGTGATTCCTCTCTAGATCAATAAATTAGCACGCAGTTAGAATGACGTCTTTGCATCAGCTCCGTGCCCGACTGACAGCATCTCAGGGTGAGATTTAGACTTTTAAATCAGTCAACGTGTGACAAACGTCTCACTGCTCAAAAAGCCCCCAGAGTGTTGTTGTGGTTGTTGGTGTGAAAGTGTTTCATTTATCAGATATTTGGGATATATTTGATTGATTTTAAGTCATTTTTGATAACATTTGAATGATTGGTGTTGGGACAGCAACTTTCTTTTGTGAAACACAATGTGGATGTTCCTCAATATGGAGGTGAACAAAAGCTAACAGCAGTATATTATATACTGGTACCGGAAGGTTATTGTGCGTGTTTAAAAATGTTAGTTGGCTATTAGTTTCACTCCCGATCTCCTGTATATCTGTAGTGCATCCAACAGAAGCTCAAAAGCATCGGATAGTATCTTCATCTTTATTCACAGCGTTGCAACGGACGATTGTTTTTTACCATCCAGGACATTAAAACCGTGTCCAAACCAGGAAGCAAAACCTCCCCCGAAAACCACACAGGCTGCAAACCGAAAGCAGAACCCTTGCGTGAATCTGCCCTCCTTCGGACTAATGGCCGCCAACAGACGGCCCGCGGGTTCACATTTCGCGGTCAAGATGCCCGCAAGACGACTCAAAACAGGATCCGTAATCTGAGCCGAAACACGGCCATTTGGAAGCGAGAGGTCACTGCAAGAGAAGGGCGAAGCTACGCGGCTAAAAAACACCCCCCGACATTTACCCCCGGGGGAGTTGGTGGAGACCAAAACCCGAGAGAGATGATGATGATGATGATGATTCCAGCCTGCTGCTCCGCTGCAAACAAGTTCCCCGCGTCACGTCGACGAGGAGACGGCGCGTCCTCCGTGTCTGCTCCCACCAACTAAAACACAATAAGAAGGTGGCGAAGGGTCCCGGCTTCGGCCTCGCTGGTTCCCCTCGTTTGAGCCGGCTAATCGAGGGCCGAGGACAGCAGGTCACAGTTTAACGGGTCATCACCTAAATTCACTGGTAACGTTCCAGAACATAAAAGGGCACCTCGTGGTTTCATGCGGGGAAATAAAAAAAATATAAAAAAATCATTAACCAAAAACAACGTTCCACTGAAAATAGTTGGATTTTTCAGATTTCGCGTTTCAAGTTGATTCCCCAAAGCTCGAACTATTGATTTCCACACATTTCTCTCCCCTCCTGAGAAGCCGCGCAGCTGGACGCCGTGTGGCTCCAGCAGGGATCTCACTTCCACATTCTACTTCCAGCCTTCAGCTCGCCACCTCTTTCACATTACCACGTGAGGGAAAGGCCACAAAGAGTGATGATGGAGCCCCCCCACCCCCACCTACTCCCCCGGCCTCGCCCCTCGGTTTGGGGATGCAGGGGCTCATCAGTATCTCTGGACCAGGCCCGTTTACCAATGCCCCCCCCACACACACACACACACACACACACACACACACACACACACACACACACACACACACACACACCGCTGCATCGCGTTGGATTGAAGCCTGAAATTGCTTCCAGCTGGCAGCGACCAAACCGACCGAGTAACTGCGGGGAAACAAAGCGGTCCGCTCGCACAGTTATTTGCGCACACGGTGTTGCACCGACTGCAGACACGGATATTCATGCACCCCCTTCGCCCCCCCCCCCCGAGGAAAAAAAAAGAAATCTTTCACTTTCCCCGCTGCAAACGCGTCCTCCTGCTGCTTAATGCGCGTAATTACGCAAAGCTGCTGACCGTTGCTGCTGTTAGTGGAACCGCCTTGACGATCTGCCCCGGCCTGTAGAGTTTACCCCCCGCGGGCACGATGAGGATGATGATGATGATGATGATGAGGAGGATGAGGAGGATGCTGCACTGTGTGCCCTGCGCATCCTCCGCGTGCACCAAACCCGGATAACTAAACCCCGAGGGACGCCAGGAGAGCAGCGGCGCATCGAAACAGGAAAGAAGCGACGCGGGGGGTGCGGGTAGGATCTTTGGGGGTGCGGGACTCACCAGTTGGTGTCCGAGGTCTCGTCGATGACGTCCTGGTAGGCGGTCAGCAGGTCCAGTCTGTTCTTGCCGAGATTCACAGCCATGTTTCCGTCCCTGCAAGCATCCAGACCCGCTGCTGATGGAGAGAGACACGGAGTGAGGCTAGAGAGGAGCAGGAGGAGGAGGAGGAGGAGCAGGAGGAGGTGGAGGCTCTGACTGGTGGAGACAAAGAGACGATCGCGGTGTCCGAGCGGTCCTAGCGCCGGAGCGATGGGCCGACGGGTCCTAGTGCCGACGGTGGGAAAAGCAGAGGTTTCAGATTGGCACAAATTGAAAACTAGACGCCCCCAAAAAACATTTTTCTCACAGATAAATGAAGAGAATATGCTGGTAATGCTTTAACTGTTAAACCAGAGGAACAAATGTTCATGGAAATACCAATGGACTTGTATTTGTACATTTTACAGGATAATACAGTTTTTCAGATTCTGGATCACAAACTGTCCTGTTTAACTGTCCTTGAGGGTTTATCTGAGGGCATCTGGTGGTCGGATGGAGAGTTCCTCGGTAAAGCACATCCCTGGTTGGGAAGTGGGCGGAACGGAGAGAGAGTATGGAGGAAATGCTCCAACAGGAGCACAGTGCCTGAATGAATGAGGGGAAACAAATCAGCCATTTAGTCTCATTGTCGGACTGAGTCCAGTACTGCAGAACACCTTCAGGAGGGTAGTTCTGGGCTGTGTGGTGGAAGGAGAACTCATATCCTCATACCTTTACTCAAGAGAAGCATTGACCACATCTTCCGTAATGACGTGATCAGAGGTCAAGCAACAATTAAAACTCTCAGATTCCTTTTCTCCAGCAGGGGTTTTTCCACAGCAGGGGGCCCTGGCAGGAGACGTTATGGTCCTCTGTATGGTGGACATTTCAGACTCAGATTATTAAATCTACATTTCTCAGCCTCAGTTGAACCTCTGCACTCGAGGATCATTTCTTCTGCCACTTTTACTTCATTTAATCTCATGAGCAGAGATTGTAATTCTGTCTTCACTATATATCATATCTTTATTTAATTTTTATTTACATCCAAACATCAATACTTGTGCTGATGCTTTTGTACTTTTGCATAAGTAAGTCAATGTGAGCTTAGTTTGGTTGATAGTTGTAGTTAAATAATTAACAGCCAACATTTCAGTGACGTAATGGTTCAGGAATTCCTCCTTTGTGGTGTTTAAAAAAAGTCCATGGACTGAAAACGGGCTTCTTTTCTTCCTGTTTCCTGGAAAAGTTGACATTTGGGAGGTCCCCCCCCCCCCCCTCCCCTGGTCCGGTGGCGGCGGTGGTCGGTTGCCGTGGTAACCTGCCTTGCCTCAGAGGGTTGAACCCCACACGGGCGGCCTCGGTGTTTTTCTCCCAGGCTCGGCTGGCACTGAGCCCACATACCTTCCCCTCTGCCCTCCAACACGGAGGCTGGAGGATAATAAAGATGGGGGGTCGGGGGGATCGGGAGGGTCAGGGGGGAGGAGGGGGGGGCGCTTTAATTGGCACAAACAGCAACTTAGCACAAGGTGAACATGCTGAAACTCCACCATTGTCCACCACGCTGAATTTCCTGCTTTTATCATTGATCATTTGTATTAATTTACATTGAGGCCGACGATTAACGAACAGTTAATCAGGAACGTCATGTGACCAAAGGATTGCTGGACTCGTGCATTTTTTAATCAGTTTAATCAGTTACAATACAAATGAGAAATAAATATTGTAGGTTTCACATATGTATCAGTTAAATCTTTAAATTTGTTACAAAATTGGTGCAAAATGAGCTGTACCCTGACACGAAAATCTTGCTTAGTTTGAATGATTGAAAATGTTGAGGACTGATATGATTGACGAGGAGCGTGTTCTTCTGTAAGAACAAATCACCCCCGACGTTCCTCCATCAGGCCTCGTTTCCCCTGAGTGGCTGAATCTGCCCGACTCGACTCATCGATGGTACCAGATTATTTCTCTCTACACACCCACCGCGTCACACGGATACGCTTCATTAAGGATCTGCAGAGCGAGCTGAGACCCCCCCCTCATGGACCCTCTGACTGGGCTAAACAGGCTGTCAGGGCTGAAATGTGGGAGATTACACCGACTCTGACAGCTTCGGGGAGGAATAAATAACCCGTAGAAAATCTGGGATATTTTAATCCACCGAAGGGCCACGAAGAGCGGCCATAATTCCTCCAGAATGAGGTCAGAGCCTGAATATGAAACAGAAATGACTTTGGATTTGAGACTTTTTAAACACACTTCTCGCGTAGAAACTGCATTGAACACTTTGGGGATCCAAATGAAAATCTCTGCTTCTGTTAATACTAATACTTTGGAAATGACCTTTAACGATGAGAATTATCGAGCTTTTTCATTTCCTTTGGTTTGCCTCCGATCGACTCGTTTGTTCGGGAGACTTTCGCCCGTTCGTTTGGCTGCAGAGTCGACAAAACGTCAGACCTTCAACTCAGGAGAGTGACGCTTGTTCCCAACCGAAAGCCGAGCATTGTTTATTGTTAAAGTGCTTTAGGATGAAGATAAAAACTAACGCGTCGTCCTCGGCGTATTTTTAGACCAAAAGGCCTCGAACTGGAGTGACGCCCCGCTCTTTGTTCCACGGATTCATTCGGCTCCTGGCTGGCAGAGTATTGATTGATTCTATTGATCACTTTCCACACTGGGGTGTTTCTAAATAAGGAGGCAGACAGGTGGACAGATGGGCAACAAAGAAAAGGCTCATTTCCCATCTGCCCTCTTCCTTTGTCTTGTGGCACTCAGGGTCTCTTTATTTCAAACCGGTTTCCCTCCATGACAATTCGGTGTTACGACGGATGGAATAAAAGCTCCAGACGTTTAAATATCTCTCTGCCCGGTTTAACAGCAGGGATTCGTCCACGCACTCGCCGCGGCAGTGAAAAGAAACAATACCTTGATACGAAGGTCAAAATGTGCTCTCGGAGAGTTGTGGGCGACGTGGAGGGGAAATGATGATGACGATGATGATACAAACTCACCAAGTGAAGATGAAGTTTAAACACTCAAACCGTAAAATCCCTCTGGGTCGTCACTGAAGGTCTCTGTGCTCTTAAAACCTGCAGCACGGCTCGTTTTACATCCTCAATGCGGTGAAACGACGACGACAGCATTCACTCGTGGAGACGAAAGGCGTAAGAACCAAGAATAATACAAGCAAATGGAAAACACCAAAGTTGGAGATGGACAGTGGAGGCTCGTTGTGAAGGAGAGGACAGATCTACACACGCTGAAGGTACGTTGGACAATCAGGGCAGAGGCATCGACTCCACACGACAGTCGTGCCCAACTTGTTTTTGACAGAAAATATCCACTAAAGGGTTAAATATCCTCTCCTTTGCCCAAATGAAGAAATCCCAAATAACATCAAACGGAAACGTGTCTGTTAGTTTTTTGGGCCTAGACCTCCGGAAAAGTTGGATTTTTGTTTCTAAGCTGTTATAAATATTAGCGGTACGTGACTAGAAGGATGTTTATGCCGATCTCAGAGACAAAGGGCCACGCTCCAAAAGTTCATATTGACTAGTCTCAAAAGAGTTGAAAGTCCGTCTGTGCAGGAAAAACACGACTCACACACACAAAACAGAATAGAGACAGACAGACGACACAGAGACAGATGGTCCCGGTTTGAGATACTGATCTTAACTAAAACAACATTAACGTCATTCATCACACTTTTTTTTATTTTTTATTGATTGGGGCTTTTTCTCTTTGTCCTGTCAGTGTGTTAAATGTCTTAGTGTGCGACAACACGTGTGTGTCTGCTGTGTGTTACCTCGGCACTTGAAAGCTCCTTTGAGCCGAGAGCAGCTGCAGACTGCTCTCGTGTGTTTTCTCGTGTGTCTCGTGCTGCGTGTGTTTTATACGGGTTGCCGTATTTCGTAGTGTTAATACTAAAGCCCCCTCGACCATTTCTACTCATCTTAGTATTTCATTTGACCCCCTTAACCCAACTGGGCCCCGATGCATTGTTGTAGAACGGTGCTGTACAAACAAAACCTTATAGAGACACACACAGACACACACACAGTAACAATGTGTTCCTGCTGCAGGCAGAGGAATGTGTTCATTTCCTCTTTGGTGTGAATGTTTACACACTCGACATTTTATTTTAAACACACGGAGAATAAAAGTCCCGGAGGGAAGGAATGTGTGTGTGTGCGTGTGTGTGTGTGTGTGTGTGTCAACATGGAAGCTTTGGGCACATTTTGCATTCACCTTTCTGAGATTTTTTTTCCATATCAGGTGATATTTTTAACCTCAGCTCCAATAAACTTAAACCACGAGTGTCTGTTTAAGTTGAAAGTAACTTTTATAATATAATAAAAAAATCCAGTCTTTTGTTTTGTTTATCTCAAATCCCCCCAAAGTGCATCCTGATCTCATCATTTTGAACAGATCTCTGCCTCCACCTTGTGTCCATTCTCAGGACTCCGTCTCTGAGATTATTAATATTCTACCGTACAAATGCACGAGTCCTGAAGTCACGCAGCAGCAGAACGACACCAACAGAAGCGCCACTCAGGTGTTATTAACGGATTACTTTTATTATAAATATACAGTGTTAAAATGGAATGGTACCTGACACTGCCAGCCGTTCGCCGCTTATAGAAACTATAATATTGGAAGTGGAGTTGGTGCTGCTCTTTGCTCCTCAGAAGCAGAGCGGGTCCGCTCACCCCGAAGGTTCAACACAGATGGTGAGGAGGAAACATGTCAGCCACTTTTTAAAAAAAGATCATCTCTTGTTTGGAGGAGGAAAAAAAAAAAAAGAAATGACAGGAAATGCTGTCGAGTGATTAAAAATGAGATCACAGGAAGATGTGACGGACACATTCAATGGTACCGAACATCCAACGGTTTGTGAGAAAGGTGCCACGTGCAGCGTTTTTAGCATCCTCATGTGACGGATACCTTCCCTAAAGAATTACATGCAAATTCCATTTGAAGTCATCGTTCTTTACACAAATACGTCTAATTCACTGGTTTGGAGTGCAGAAACCTGCTGGCTTACATCACCTTTACAGTACTAATCTTTTTACAGAAACAGTTGGGAAATAATTGGTCAGGTTTTATGAGAAAGAGATATAAAGTCACATATTCTTTCCAGTCATAATTCACAGATGTTAAAATGTCACATGTAGCACCTTTCGTTTTGATCGTTTATCTGGGCGAATGTCGCTCAGCGGATGAGTGACATGACCGGATGAGTCACATGACCAGATTCGCTGGCTGACGAATATCAACGCCGACGTCCATTTTTAAGTATCAGGCACTTTGTTGCTTTTTTTTTCTTTTTAAGTACTACACGAGTGAGCAGTGCCTGGAGAGCGATGCCGACGTAGTGTGCAAAAACACTGGATATAACAAACAGTTTGAACATGCATAACAAAATGTAAACATTTAAATCGTTAAATTTACTGAAGGAAAAGGAGAAAAGAAACGATGCATAAAGAAACCTTTACAGCTTTAACTTAACGGCCAAAGAGGAAAAACGGAGACTTGACTCTAAAACGAAGATCTCCTCTTTGAATGATTCAGCAGGTGTTGGCGGCCTGTCATTAACATAAAAGTGATGAACATGGGGGGTCAAACCAAGTAAGGCAACAAATGTTCAGGAGAGTCGTACAGTGGTAGTTTGTCTGAAGGAAACGGGTTCAAAGGTCAAACTGAGCGGGTGAGCGGAGGCCACTTTGTCACAAAGACGTGTTGCACTCAGAAAGGATTCAAATGGAGCATTTGGTTGAAAAAGAAGAAGCGTTTTAGGTTTTTTTAAGGAAAAGATACAACTGCTGTGGCAGAAAGCTTGATGCTTTCATAGCTGGGGCGCGACGGCCAATGGTGCCGGTGGTCCCGCTGACCCAGAAAACCCCACCAACAACTTCTCAAGCCGACCTCTTGACGGGACTTCTGTTTGTTTGTTTTATATTCAGGAAACCTTCCCGTGGCCTAATAGAGTTAAATCACCTTTATTTTGGCAACATCGTCCCAATGTGAAGGCTACTACCGAATACGCAAAGGACACTTCCGGGGAGCATTAAAACAGTGTGCTTATTGTAAGCTACAAACGTTAGCATGTCCAGCTAACTGGCGTACATACAAGAGCCCTGTGAGGGAGATGGAGGGGGAGGGAGGGGGAGTTTGATCGTACACGTGTGGGCCGTCCTCCCCCGTTTCAACAAGCTCAGCGCCAAGGCACCCGAAGGACACGCAGAAGGAAACGTGGTCCCGGCTGGTGGTACATTACTGCCACCGAGCGGCAGGCTGTGGGAGCTCAGCGCGGAATCTCCCTTAAAGCACAAGAAGGCCGTTACCGCGCCATCTTAATATAGGGTGGGGTTTTTTTCTTAAAGAAGAGAAGATGAGGCGGAGTGAGACCCGAAATATACATGAATCCGGCGGTAAGAACATCAGACTTCTTGTGAGACGGATCAATCCTCGTTACGTATTAAAATGATGACCAACAACACGCTGAAACATTGACAAACTCTCCCCTTGACATGAAAACAGTGCTACAGGTTACAGACGTGTGGGGATCCCTGGTGGTTTCATGTGCTTTGGTGCCTCTGCAGCGACAATCTACCAAATACACATTTCTTCATCATTTCTGAGTGAATAGAACTGCAAATATTTCCATTACAGTGAATTAATTCATTCACTTAGTTCTTTTAAAAGATTTTTTTTCCTTAAAAGACACAAATAAACCGGTGAGAAACGTTTGAACTGGTTGCAAACGCAGGAAAAGGCATTTTGAGACAGAAGTCAAGATTTGAAGACTCGCTGAGATGAGAAGAATCTGCAGCTTTAACCGTTGAAAGAGAACAACGACAACAACAACACGGCAACACAACTGACAAGAAACAGCACCAGTTAATTTCGGTGTCGTAGTTGATTCCACTAATGAAATAATACACAAAAAAAAAAAAAAAAAAAAAACATTGGCAGAAAGATGAAATAAAAACATGGCAAACATAAATATGGAGAAGCGAATGAAGCACGAGGCTACAGCAGGTGTGCAAATCCAAAACCAACAGAGGCGAGTGGGAGGAGAAGGCTGTTAAAGGGATACCTTGACGTTTTGATTGGATCTTTTCGGCCCCGCGGGCTTCTTGTCACAAAATGGCGTCGGCGTTCTGTGTTGGCACTTTAGATGAAGACGAGCAGGAAGCCGGGTTGCTTTGCCGAGTTCTTTGGTGAATACTTGCGGTTTGACTTTCTCATTCTAACACGTCTGTGGATGTATTCATGCATTCGTCCCTCACAGAAACAGCTGGTTTGCTTTCTAGCCTAGCCTAGCCTAGCTTAGCACAAAGACTGCAGAGTGTGAAAAGCTAGCCCGGCTCAGCACAATAAAATCAGAGATTTAAATGTCTCCACCGTATTTTGACCTTGTTATCTGGTTTAAAGCTATTCAGGGTTTTCTCTTCTTCTTCCTTCCAGGGACTTTTCAGGAAGCTCCCTGGAAAGACCAAAATACGGTTAAAGACTTAAAGAAAAACACAAACAAAATTATCTTTCCAGAATTTGTGGGGGAGGGAGTTGTAAATTGTTGAAAAAGAAAAGTGAACCTGAGGTAGTCTGAGTGTTTGATCTCTTCTTCTTCTACCTGTGCTGATGTGCGATGCGGCGAACAAGCGGTAGTGATGAAGGCTGTCTGAACAGTTTCTTTATTCACCCGGTCGGACTTTTCCACCGGCTTAATTAAGACGAGTGCAGCTGCTAATATTAAGACGACAGCTAAACATTTTGATGACTTTGGCTTCTTTTGTTGTGAGTTGGTGCTTCGTCTCGGAAGGGAATAGAATCTCAGGTGAGTGTTGGAGACACCGAGCGCCCTCTGAGGATGAAGGGAAACCCAACAGGTGCCACATCAAGGTATCGCTTCAACCGAATGGATTTGAAGCCGGCGGTGAAACATGTCGCCGGCCAGTTAAGGCACATACGTGTGAGTTTATAGAACTTTATCTAACGAGCAGGACTACAGAAATGCTTCACTTAACGAGCTATGATGTGAAGACTGAGAAGCGTTTCAGAAAATAACCGTCTCTCTACAGACGTAGAGTACAATTTAAAAACTATTAAACTACAGTACACTCTAGATGCTAATTTATGAAGTCTTGATGCATAGCATCACGCATAGATAGAATAGATTTTCATTTTAAGTAATATAGATCCCGTTCAATATTCCAGCAAAACATTGAATGGTGGAGTTAATAGTGTTATGGAGGGTTATGGCAGTGTTTGTTTAAGAGTCACAGTCTCGCTCCTCTGTTTCTTTTTAACCTTAAAAAGAGACAGAAAGAAAACGGAGAAAGTAAAAGACACCGATATGTGATTGTCATGAGCCTCACTGTCGTCGCTCCTCCGCAAAGTTCAATCAACGACGTGAAAAAAAACGGAGAACAAGACGACAAAAATGGGGAACAAAGAAGTTTTGCGTTCAACTGAAACGTCCCCGCTCCACATGTTCGGGCTTCAGCCCGAGTCGGCATCCAAAAGCAACGCCAAACCCCTAAAGCCAAATCCCAAACCGACAAATCCCCAACTTATCCTACACTTTTCTGATCACAAAATCCTCATATCCACGAGGGAATGATGCTAAAAACAGTGCGTGTCGGCGCTGGAGGGCCCGGCTCTCTTCAGCTCAGCTGGACCGGGACCAGAGAGGTGGGCGGGATCGTTCTCCTCCGGCTTGGACTTCTGTAGTTTGTTGCTTCTCTCCGTTTCACATCGCTCTACTTCGCCCTCCTCCTTTGCTTCTTTCTTTAACGCCATGCCTCCCTCTGCGGCCTTCGTCTCGGTCCTCTGGGTTTCGGACAGCGGCACCGCTGGTAGAAACTTCCCAAACCGCGTCCCGTTCAGATCGTCCTCAAATTTCACCTGGAAGGGTGGAAGCCCGAGCAGGAAGGCCCTGATCCTGCTCGGGGAGCTCAGGTCCGCGGGTTCCTCCTGGTTCTCCGCCTCGTTGTCCTGCTCTCCTCCCCCGTCACTCCCTCCGGAGCTGGACCGCCCCCCCGAGCCGAAGCCCTCGGCATGCTCCGTGCAGCCTGTTCTGGGCCTCTTGGACGGCGGTTGATCCGCGCTCCCGTTGATCGCTGTCGAACTGGTCTCCGTCCCCTCTGGGCCGGTCCTCTTTGCCGTTAAGCGCTTGCTGAGGTTGAGCGGCAGCGCCTGCTCGGGGGGAGGGGTGATGGGGGAGCAGGGGGGCTTGGTGCTCAGGTCCTGGGACAGAGCCTCAGACAGTCGGCGGGTGAAGGTCTGGAATTGAGACGAGCCCAGGCGAGTCCTCATCAGCTGGCACACCTGAACGCTGCAGTCCAGGTTCAAGGGCAGGACCCGGAGAGGGGGCAGAGGGGGCCGGTTCCTGGCGTCCCGAATGCCTCCTCTCTGGGCCGCCTCGTCCCCGTTGCACCCCGAGCAGTGGGTGTGCTGCTGGTGGAGCGGGTGGGGCTGCGGATGAAGCTGATCCCCACTGGGATGAGGCGTATTCGGGCTCCCGCTTTTGGGCTGGAGTGTGTAGCCGCTCGGGTCCTGAGGCGTCAAGGCCGGGCTCTCCGGGCCTCTCTGGAGGCTGGTGCGGTTCCTTAAGACGTCCAGAGGACAGACGCCCTTGATGGGGCTGAAGCCCCCCAGGGATCCACCCACAAAGTGACGGGGCAGAGTGGAGGGGAGCGCACCCGGAGCAGCAGCCACGGGCTCCACTCGGTCCGGCTTCAGCTCCTTGGGTTTGGGCAGGAAGGGGAGGAAGGGACCGGACATGGGGGAGAGGTCGGGGGTGAGTGGCATGTTGGCTGGGAGGACAGCGGGGTGGACGGGCTGCGGGGACGGAGGAGATGGGGAGAACAAGGAGGTCATGGAGAGCGTTTGTTAATCTTCATTCATGTGCATTAGGCTTAAACATCCATCTGATAATAATGATAAACGATTATTCGTCCTGGTGTGGGACCGTGGGGCTTGAGGTGTTACCCTGTGCGCGCTGCTGGCCGTCGGCGCTCCTTCCCCCCGGGCTGGATGCTGCGTGGACTCGCCTGCTGATGCTGCCGCTGCTGCTGCTGCTTTGGCTTTGGCCTGCTGCTGAGCCACCAGCTTGGCCTGAGCGATCAGCGTGGCCTTGTTGCGTGTTCCCGGCGGCCGGCCTCGGCCTCGCTTCACCGCCGCGCCGCCAGCCGGGTTCACCATCTGCTCGGGGAGACCAGGACAGTGACTCGAATGTTGTTGTATTCTGAACATTTTACTTACTGCTGTGTACTGATGGCGTTCAGCTCATTGAGTTTACCAGAAAAAAAAAAAAGAGCAATATCAACACATTTCCCCTCCTTTCTTTGTCTTGGCCGAATTCACCACAGACCGTTACTTTCCGCTGAGTTCATGCAGCGAAATAAAATACCCATTGTTAGGTATTGCAGATGCAAGTGATATTAATCATTAGTTGACGTAACAAAAGGTTCGTACTGGGAAGGAAGGCAGATATTTTGCCTTGAAATCCAGCAATGGCCTTGAAGGCGTCTTTGTTTTATTCAAACTGTGTTATTGTGCAGTTCATATATCTGTCAAACTAATTGGGTTTGGTCTGCAGAGCATTTGGGAAGGCTGAGAAGTTCCAAGTCTATTGGCGACGCAAACCGATGATGCCCAGTTCTGTGCTTTTACATCATCCCTGCTGGGGATTGATTTGAGTCATGGGTGAGCAAGTAACTCCCAACCAACAAAATAGACTCCTAAAACATGATCACATCATTACTCCAAATACTGCGTAAGATGAAGGGTTTGTCAGCCCTAAGAGTTTCTCATAGTTCTAAATGAAAAATGTGTAATAAGGTTAAAAGATGCACATTGGCAGATTCAAATGAGTTCAGACAGAGATCAAATCCTGGATTTGATCTCTGTCGGGGGAGAATTCCACCACAATCTCGACTTCTACGACGGGAAGAAAGCTTTATAATCAAATGCACGGTTGAGTTGGTCCTTCACTCACAGCACGGGACGCAGCAGCAGGGGCCGTCATCTTCTTGTCCTTGGATTTGAGTCCTGGTTTTCTGCCTCTCTGAAGTGGTTTCCTTCCTCGTATCCCTCTGGGCTTCAGAGGCATCGGGGATTCTGGGATTTTGAATTCTGCTTCTTCTGCTTCGGCTTCTCCTCCATCTCCTCCTCTTCCTCCTCCTCCTGCTCTGAGGTGCTCTTCATAAGGAAGCATCAGCCTGAGACAGACACAGTTGTAGGAAGCTAAGTGCTTGTACTTCAACACTTGGACCTTTCGTTTTTTTGCCGGAAGGATTTGTTTATATTCTCAGGACTTTGCACGAGGGGGCGAATGTTTCTGTCGGACCTCTCGTAGTGTCTCCGGGTGCAGGTAGCAGCACTGGTGCTGCCGGGGCATCCTCCCAGCTCGTTATAGACGATCTTCCAGAGTCGGTCCAATGTCACCTACGACACACACACACAATAGAAAATTTAACTATGTGAAAACATGAAAACGGATGAGGAGCAGGTGGGACTGCGATCATTCTTTCAGAATTAGTCTGCGTGGTTGAAAATCCAGTTCGACTTGATGTTTTTCTTTTGGCTGCGTGTGAGTGGTGCGATTTGTGTTGAAACAGTTGCACACATGACACAGTGTGTCATTAGTATTGTTGAGTACCAGGCTGAGCTCAGTACAGAGGAGGAAATGAGCGATTGAACAGGCCTGTTGTTGTGAACAGCGTCGCACTGAGCGGTGTCCCGTCTGCCTGTTTACATTGATGGGAAAGGGGACTTTGTTGTGCGTTTATTCACTGGAGACTGCTGGGAAATGACTGATTAACACAAAGGCAGAACTCCACCGTTTCATTGTGCACAGAAAGTTGAATGTTGGCTAATTAAAAAAAGTACAGGCCCCAGCTGTTTTTAATCAATTATTTTACTTTAAGCTGTCTGTACAGAGTTTGATGTAAAAGAAAACATGAGGCTGAATTAGCTTAGCATAAAGTCTGGAAACAGGGAGGAACAGCTCCAAAGGCAGCACAAAATAAAAAACAAACTACTGTAAAGTTCACTCACTAATTTCTTTAAAATTGCACCAAAAAAACATATATTTATTTATATTAATGCTCAGCTAATTGGCTACTGTAGGCAGCTTAATATCCATCTTCCCTACATTAAAGTGCTTTCAATTATTTCATGCAAAATAGAAATCTAAACAATATGAAACTTTTCCCCTAAATGAAGGTTGAAGGGGGTAAATAAAGTGAAAAAGCTCGAGGCGACTCACCCTTTTGTAGCCACCAAGCCGCTTGACCACAGAGTACATGAGGAAGAGGTCAACTAAGGGGAGAGAAGCGGACATGTTTGAACTCGGCAACTGGAAACAAATATGAACCACGGCGGATAAAAGTTGGAACACCGAAAAAAACCCGTTCCATTTAACTAAACAAATGTGTTTGGATAAACCCTGCAAGGTAATTTAAACAAGCACTATTTCATTCTCCCCCCGCTTATAAATATTCAGATGAAAAAGAACCCTCCTGTTTTTAATAAAGGTTTGACTGACGTTGAAATATAATAAAACATTGAAAATCAAATTAAATGTTAATAATCTGCGTGGGTACAAAGAAAAAAAAGGAGGATAACCTCACAGCTGCCATATATTTACATTATCAAACGCTTAAAAGCTTCTGGCAGCAGAGTAAAAGTGTAAATATTTCATATATATTATATAAATAAACATGGATTTGTATTTCTAATAAAGATGTGTTAAAATTTTGAGTTGTCCGCACAATGTATATTTGTAAAATGTAATTTTTTTTTAACATAATGCAGTTTTATTATCAATGGAGCGTTATTACATTACTAGTACATGTCATTTAGCTGACGCTTTCATCCACAGCAAATTACAATAAGTGCATTTCAACCATAAGGATACAAACTCAGAAGAACAAGAAACTAGAAAGTGCAATTTTATCAAATGAGCCGATTTACAACGTGCTATAGATAAGAGCCATTACAAGTACAATGTAAATGCTACAATTTGTTAATGTATTTAGTCAATCCACTATAGTCTGAAGAGGTGTGTCTTTAGTCTGAAGATGTGAAGGCTCTCTGCGGTCCTGGTGTCTCCAGAGAGCTCGTTCCACCATTTAGGAGCAGGACAGCAAAGAGTCGTGATCTAGTCGAGTGTTTTGCTCTCAGTGAGGGAGGAACAAGCAGTTTTGCAGATGCAGAGCGGAGAGTGCGGGTCGGGATGTTTGACCATGTCCTGGATGTAGACTGGACCCGATCCAGTCACAGCATGGTACGTGAGTACCAGTGTTTTGAACTGGATGCGGGCGGCCACCGGAGGAGTGGAGTAGTGTGGGAGAATTTAATGTAATCAAATATTTTCTCTTTAAGAAGAGCAGAGAATATTGAGGTTCAAATACAGAATATTCCTGTAACTTAAAAACCATACAAAAATAAATAAAGTAAAAAAGGTTCCTTGGAAGTGGTTTTAAAAGCGAAGATGTATCATTTTAAATAAGACCTTCTGATGGTAAACTGAGCGAGCGTTTGGCAGCAGGTATAAGACGTCAACCCTGAACAACAAGCATCGTGAAACCGGCCGAGCAGGAAGGACGAGCTGCAGCCATCCGCATTCTGACGCAGTCCCACTTTCAATCGGCTGCTGTTCCTAAAGTTGGTTTCTTGATACCACTTGATTGTTTATATGATTCTATTTTTTTTTTTCTTGTCTTTCAGATTTAGGTGGTTGGTCTGTAACTTCAGACCTCTTGAGAAACATTTCTAATCTCAACGTGGAAATTGTGGTTGTGTGGCATTTCTTAACTGTCAAGAGCACCTTTCCACAAGAGAAAGAAAGAAAGAAATACAGAAGGAAAGTAAGAACAGAAACGAAACAAAAAGAAATCAGAGATAAACAGAGACCATACGTAACAAAGAATAAAAAACTAAATAGGAAGAAAGACAAATATAAAGGTCAGAAAAGAAGAGCATACAGATGAGAGAGAAAAGGCGAGATAAACAGACTAAAAGGTGAACGAGAATAGAGAGACTCACTCTTCTTGAAGCCGAGGTTGGGGACTTTGTTGATGGGCGAGCCGGAGCGCTCCATGAAGGCGAAGAGCTGGTCCAGGAACAGCTGCTCTTCGGGGTCGGGGAGCCAGCTGCCCTCACAGCCAACCTCCACACTGCCCATCACGTTCTCCTGGGAGGGAAGGACGCAGGCGGATTGAACCACAACCAAACTAACCAAAGATTATCGGTGGCAAATTCCAACTTTGGAACCTAAAAACTTTGTAACAAACCTTCATCTTCTCAATCCAGGACTCCGATTGGCTGGAGTTGGAGTCCTTGCCGTCCCGGCCTCTCCTCTTGCGAGGTCGCCCTCGAAGACTGAGAGACGGACATCCTGCAGGAAAACAAACAAACAAACAACAAAAACGGGAGTTGAAAAACAGAAAACAAACAGCAGCTGAACTTGATCATTTTATGATGCAAGATGATCAAATGATAAAAAAATATATTTCACTTTAAAAAGCACTCACTGAACTGCCAGGAGAAGCTGGAGCTCTCCAGCGTCGGGTGGTTGAAGGTGTCCCTGCAGTACATCAGCCGGGTGTGGGGCAGCGCCTTCACGCCTCCCAGGGCCAGCAGGTGGGGGTCCTGCAGCACCGGGCCCCTCGCCCCGTGCTGGATGCGTCTCTGCAGGGAGCGGAAGCGGCAGTACTGCGGGTAGCTGAGCACTCGGATGCCCTGACGCTGCGCCGGGTCGTCTGAGAGGAGGAGACGTGAGGCGCGTGAAACAAGCGCACTTCTGTTCCAAAGACATCCAAAAGGCTCAAAAGACCTACAGCCTCCTTTTTATGGTCAACTTTTATTGTGTGTCAGCAGAACAAACCACAAGTGAATAATTGACTGAACGATATTTCTGTACATCACGCCTGAACTTTAGCCTTATTGCAGCTGCTCACACACATCAGCCTCTTTGGACTCTCAGGGTGCGCTTGATTCGGGGGCTCTCACTCATTTTCTTACTTTCGAGTTTGTCTCCGAGCGGCTCGCTGCTCCCGTTGCTGCTGCTGCTGCCGCCGCCGTCGCTGCTCTGCAGAGTCTTGTGGAGGCCGTTGGTGCCGCAGGGCGCCGGCTTCATGCTGCTGCCCCAAGCCGCCGACTCCGCACCCGCCCACCGCACCAGGTCCTCCACCCGCACCACCATCTTCCTGGACACCGCCAGAACCTCATCCTAAAAAAAAAAAAAACACACCAGAGGGGATCATTCCACCATCTGACTTCCCTTTAGGAAGAGCTGTGGTGGTTTGGTTTTCGTGGGGAAAGTTCTCAACTAACACATTAAAAAAGATTGAAGAGTATTAATTAAGAGTTTCATGCTTTAAAGATGAAAACAGTGACTGGGTGAATTTATACATGCATTAATGATTAAAGGCTTCACCATCTTTTTGAGAACTCTAATCCCTTGTTGGCATTACAAGATTATATATATATATATACATATATATATATATATATAAATATATATATAATCTTGTGACTACGCCTCATGCTTTCCCCTGAGAAAAGTAAGCTTGTATTTTTTTCACTCGTCACTCTGTTGAGAAATAAAGATTTGGATATGAGTCATCGCGTATTGCAGAGAACACTTTTTGAAACGGGTTCTTATCATACCGATCGACAAAGCACGAGGAAAGAGAACAGGCCCGAAAACAAACAATGAGGATCAGGAACAATGGACCAGCTTTTAACTTGAGCGAGAAAAGTAAATCTGGTTTTGGCTCTTTTGGGGGAAGACAATTACTACTCATGTGAAGGGGTTTTATGTGTGTGTGCGCGATGCATTTAATTAACATTTAAACTAGAACTTCATTACAAGTCGCTCTGCTCCTACCGAGCTCTCTGCAACGTTCACCTGCTGGTTTTATTCGGCCATGTGATGGAGAACGCTCGGAGCTGAACGTGTGCCAACTCTCTGAAAACAGAAAGTCTTTATTGGTTCTGAGGGTCTTACATTTACTTGGGAGCCTAAAAAGAACCTGCAGAGTGAGTGAGGCAAAGGGAGTGAGAGTGAGAGAGTAAGAGATGCCCAAATAAGGATTTAGTATAAAAAGTAAACAGCTCTCCGTCTGGAAACAGTGAGCTTAAACTAAACTGTCCACTTTCCAGTATTAAAAAAAAGGAAAAAGGAAAAAAAGGGATTTAACTTTAACAGCTGATAAAACAAACGAAACAATAGATCACTTTTTTTTAAAAGGTCAGATGACGACTTTAAACTTCAACTATTTGTTCAAGTATGATTTAGAACTACAGATAAAAGCAACTCTTCTACGCAAGATAAATATACTGTTTCATTTTTACATTTTCTTTCTCATGATTCTTGTGCGTTTAATACTGTATTTCTATGTCATGGTGTATTTCTATAGAGTTGTATTGCTGCTTATTCCACCACTGCATGTGATGCAGCATGTAAAAATATAAGAGGAAGTTTATGAGACAGAAAACCCCGTTGGACTCGTCACTATTTACTCATCTGTGAATAATTGGCCGTTGTAACAGCGGTTTCCTCTCGTCTCTTCTCCCTCTGCATTCTCAGTCTTTGTTTGCGTCAAGTGAAATGTGAGCGCAAGTAGGACCCAAACAAGGCGGTGAGGAATGTTTACTAAGGATCTAGGAGTTGAACAGTCAAACTATATTTGTCCTTATTTACTTAACAACACAGAGGTTTTGAGGCTGAGCTGATGAATGAAAAAGTTCATTTTAATTCTACATATATAGTGCTAGGTACATTAATCTATAATACTAACATAACTCATTCCATCTTCTCTTTTGTTTAGATAATATTGGCACAATGCAAATACATTGCAGCTCATTTACATCTGCTCTCCACAGCGGAGCAGCAGCAGCCAGCGGCTCCTCCCGAACCCCCCCCCCCAAACGGCCTAAACCCCCCAAACAAAACCCGACCTCCTCCCTGCCGGATGTGAGCTCATTAACATGTTAAAAGTCTTTGCATGAAGTGGCTCCGCGGGAGTCATGAATAAACATTTTTGGGAGTTAACTCGGAGGCTTCGTCAGCGGGGCCGTGTTTTGGTTTTGAAAGGTATTTCTTTTGTTAGGTTATCGCTCCTCTCCACACTACTCCGGGGTATACGGAGGGGTGTGAAGACCCTACCGACGCTACAGGGTGGAAGTTTATGGAGAGAAACGGTACAAAAGGAAGTCAGTTACCCTCATAAAGACTTCATATAAAACTCAATAACACCAAAATATAAAATAAACTACGCTATGATCCTGTTAAAATCAACTAGTGCAATATTAAAATCCATAAAGAGGCTTCAACAGGGGAAATATCAATGTTATATATTAGTAATACATCAGTTTCGTGTGAACAGACTCCACATACTTTCCATTTTACTGGTTTTGGTTTCATTCATGAAAAGCAGATCATTAAATAATATCAGACCACACAGAGCTGTAAAGTAATGTTTGTTCTTCACTGCTCATAAAAAAAGGAAAAGACCCAGCTTTTAATTTACAAGAAACCTTTCACCGAACGTGTTTAGGTCCTTCGCCAAAGACGTTTACATAAAAAGAAAAGGAAGTAGGGCTCCTGTGACAAGATTATGAATAGATGCTCTTGCGGCATTCCCCAAGTTATATATGGGAGACGTTCGACCCCGTTAAGAGGCCGCAGGAATTGCAGAAGGACATCATTCTTATTGGTCACGCTTCATATTGTAGAAATGTAGCAGATACTCTAATACTAATCCTCTGGTTTTAGTGGTGAAGAGTACAACAAGTATGTTATACTTTCTACTATTTACTTTCTCCATTTGATGAAGGGAAATTCACAACCAGCACAAGGTGTTTCTCTAGTTTAGTAAACCTTTGTTGATATAAACCGGATGGACAAAAAGGGGCTGTTATTTGGTCTCTAGTATATCCTGTGGACGATATGGCCTTACATAGACGTTTCCATTTGGGTTTTGTATATTTTTAGCATAGTTGAAAATAAATTGAATTAATGAGTGTAACAAAAATATAAACAGGGCACAACAGAATTATTTATACAACTAAACAGAAGAATGAACAAACTAAATACTAAATAAATGACTAAAATACTCTCACACTAGAGACGAACATTTGGAGCAAGGCGCTCTTTGACCTTCGACCCACCTCTCCGTGCTCCCTGGTCCGCCCCTTCGGCGTGTCCTCAGGCAGGAAGTAGAGTCTGGCGCTGGCCAGCAGGTGGCGCCGTGTCTGGTCCTCCCACAGTAAGGTCACCTGCACGCGAGGAAGAAGAAGAAGAAAGGGAAGAAGAGGAGGAAGGAGACAACAACATTTAGACACGAGGGATTACTAACCTAACAGCACTTTCTGTCGTTTTAAAATGTGTTTAACTAAAAAACAATGCATGTTCATTAGTTTTAATGATCCTAAAACCTTCAGGCTGATTTAGCTCAAAAATGTAAAGAGGTCAAACTGAAAACCAGCCAGTTCAACTCGTTGGACGGCATTTCTCAAAAAAAAAAAAAAAAAGAACTTCACTGGTTCATATCTAGTTATCTAAACTCTAGTAGTTAATCTATATCACTGTTAAAACTGGGAGAGACTTGTGTACTTTACAATCTGAGATAGCCAGAGATTTCCTCAGCCTGTATTATAGTATATTCCTGTTTTATTTGAATATCTTGCAACCTTGAACAAGATGTCAGAGGCAAGGCTGCAGAAGTCAGGGAGGCAGATACGCAGCGTTTGACCTTCACTGCTTTAAGAAATAAAGATAAAACCAGACTGAGAGTCTGAAGCTCCACGTACGTAGAGCTTAAATAAACATGTTGTTGTGGTGTAAGCGGAGACCAGGATGCAGAGATGAGGAAACTCCTTCTGAAGGGAAAAGAAAGGGGATTTGGTCCCACCAGGCTAATGGGTCGAGGGTTAAAGACGTCATTATGTGAACTGAAATAAAACAGATCACGTGCAGGTTTTATTATTATATTTATATAATATATATATATTTCATAATCATAAGGAGACTTTTCAGGAAGGGTTTACTGTAATTTTCTAATTAGGGAACTTCTAAAAATGGCTGCCAAGATCAGAGCAGCCAATGTCAATACTCTACTCCCATTAATGTGTTCATTCAGCATTAATATTAGGCCATTTAGTTTGGATTCATCAGTCTGGGATGGTCTAACGAGTTATATCAAGTTGCATTGTGGGAACTGTAGTATTTTCAATCTACAGGCTTTTTCAGTTGTGGTGCAGAAGCAAACATAGCCCCGTAAAGTTGATATGGCAAACGCATAACAATCAGAGACCGGCACCCCGAGCACCATCTCGTGAATCTCACCTCGGCGATGCATTGGGGGTCCTGCGGCCCACAGCGGATGAGGTAAAACTCCCCGAGCTTCCACACCTTGGCGGGCCCGTCGGGTCGAGCTCTGCTGCTCACGGCCTTATAGAAGGCGTAGCTGCCTCGCTGGCAGGAGGGGGCACCCAACCACTGACGGAGAAGACAAGACAGCACCGATGAGGAAGAGCCAATGGCCGCAGTGAGGCTCCGGAGGCCGCGGCGGCGTTTTCACGGTTTTTAGTTTGGCATAGCATATCGATCATAGGACAGACTTTTACTCCCATCAGAGACAGAAATATCATCAGGGAGTTGAGTGAGATGAGCGCAGCTTCCTGATCGAGTAACATTGGACCGAACGAGGAAATAAGTTAGTGATGAGGAAACTAATTCTTATTTAAAGCTAGAGCTGTGGGAACCAAAAGGAAACCACAAACTAGTCACAGTCAAAGTTGAATATAATAAAATATTATTCAAAATCACATTTAAATTTGTAATAAAATAAATGATTACAAATACAGCCCGGCAACATTCAGTTGTTTCTCTGGAACAAATGTCATAATAAGCTGAAATGCAGAAACGTCAGGAGTTTACGCAACAAAGGATTGTGGGTCGGATTCAAAACTGACGGCCTCTGTACATTCTTGTAAAATTCTGCCTCTTTGACAGTTCTACATTTCCATGAATTAAACAGGAGGGACACTAGAGATCCAAATCTATGAAATCAGTTTAACCACACGTGTGCTACATGGAGTCCGCCGGGTTTTCCCTCCTTCATCCAGGTTGTGTATGAGCCACACATTCTGCATTAAAACGACTCCGTCACAGACACCTCTGCACAATGAAAGTTGCACAATCTTGCAGCGTCACAGTAGATGCGCACGCACACTCACTCAGAGGAGGATATTGTAAAACAGTCCATCAAAAAAACTCAGAGGAAATATTAAAACCTGACTGAGCTGACGGTAGCGGAGACATATCTGCTGCCCTTATAGTGGCTCATATGATGGTCAGATACGACTGAAGCCGAAGAAGGCGAGGAAGTTTTTTATTCAAAATGTCATCCAGAGTTACCACCAATAATCAAAAAACATGCCTGAAAGATTAAACCTGTATGAACTCGTTTGGTCTTAAATCACCTGTATGTATGTCGCAATTTTTCCAAATAACATCAGTTTAACTTTTACATAAAAATGACATGAGACACAGATGACTTGTTATACCGGTTATCAGTAGTTCCACTACAACACGGTGGTCACATTTCCTGTTAAACCTCCCGGGAATTAATTCATTCCTAGAAAGGAGCCGATCACCAGCTGTAGTAAATCATTTAGTATCTGTAATGTAGTTTCTAGAAAATGTCAAGTATGCAAAATGTCACGTGACCTTTCTTCTTTTTACCTCAACTTTAAGTTATGACTCAACACTGCATCAATTTAATGAATGTAAATACACACAAGAATATCAAAAACTACCCTCTTCCTCTTATTGAAGCTATTAAACGTTCAAAGTGCTGTCTTACTTAATAGCAAAGAATAACTATAGGAGTGACATTGCACCTGAATAAAGTCAGTTACACTTTTCTTAAATCATTCAAATACTACCACCAGCTGTACACAAATGTTTTAACCGCTATCTTTGTCCTTGTTATCCTTCGTTTATCATATTTCTATTATGTTCGTCAGAGGGCATGTGAAGCAGAGCGCTGCGAATGAGAGCACGTATCCATCGAGTTAAGCCTGTTTGAATAAAGCTTTCGGCTGAGGTGCAGATATAACAAACTAGCCTCTTCCAAAGTAAAAGCCACCTTGGTTGAAGGCTTTTGCTTTGAAAACAGCTACAGGAAGTGTTGAGTTTTATCATCGGCACCAACTTTGTGAGACTGTGTGCTGCTCGGTGTGACGTGGTGATGTTCTGGGCTCGGATTTAAGCAGTTAGATATACGAGAAGCGCTTGAGTACGTTGATGTTATTTAGGATTAATCTATGAGGTCCAAAAGTAGGGCTGCATCTATCTTGTTGCTTTGTGTCAATAAAATACTGAGAAATGCCCCCCAACAGTTCCAATAGCCCAAGATGACGTCTTCAACTTTCTTTTTTTCTGATGAATTTATAACCATTCACATCGTTTGCTTGATGCATTAACAATTTAACACATTATCTAACACACTTTCTCTTAGGATACCGATTAATTGCTTCAGCATCGGTCCAGAGGTTGGCTTATGAAGTTCTTTCAGTAGAATGAATATTTATAATGAATTAATAAATTATATATATATAAAATCCTCATTAACGGATGTAAAAGTGGCTGTAGGTTGCAGCATTAAAATGTAGGAAAATGCAAAAACCTTGCAGTAAGAATTAAAAATATATATTGAAAAACAGGCTCAATAATCTGAAATGGTGCCATTTGGCCAAAGTGAATGTCCCGGTGTGTCTGTCTTTGTTGGATGCACAGCTCGCTGTGCACGGAGCTTCCTCTGTGTTTTCCCTCTGTAAGAGCAGAGGAGCGCTCCATCCGTCTTACCTCACGAGGAGATCATGCTCACCCGTTTGTGGGCGTTTGAGCGGCGTCGAGCAATAAATCGAGCGCACCTTCGAGTGGGTTCACACCGTCTGAAAGCCAATACTGCCTCTGTTGTTGCTGCTGGCTGAAAAAACCTGTAGTTTTGATTTCACAGTTTTGTAAGAGGAAGTGCGAGGAGGCTGTGACACCCAGAGAGGAAAAAAAAAACTAGCTCGGGCATTAAAGCCGAACAAACTCTAAAATAATGCAGTTTGTCTTGGTTCCAAAGGTGTTTTGAGGGATGGCCGTGTGGTGGGGCGTCATTAAGCAGGCTGCTGCTGCTGCTGCTGTTTGGCTCATCGGCACCGGAGCTTCAAACAGAAAAGGGTATTTTCTCCTGGATGGAGACGTGTGCATCTCTCAGGGAGGACACGGAGCCGCCGTCGTGTTTTTATCCACATACCAGCAGGGCAACAGGCCGAAGCCACTGGAAACACTGGCCACTTGTTTCAACACTAATTGAGTAGATTTTTCACAAATGGTTGGATTTTCTACAAGTGCTTTTGTTTTCATATAAAAATAGTACCATTACAAGACGAAATCAATAACAGAAATATAATAATATCCATATTGTTTGCTTGTGTGTGATAGCATATAATATACATATATATGCTATGTATCACAGCAGGTTTCCTTGTTCATTGAAGTAGTTTTTGAAGAAGAAAGAATTGAAACCGAAGAAACTTTCAATTGATTGAACTTTCAGGTCAAGGTCACAGTGGGATTTAGCAAAAACACGGCATTTGTTTTTGTATAAACAAGCAACTATAAAGACCAAACGAGTCTTCACAATAGAATATCTGCCATTGTCTTCTTGGTTAGTCATGTGGTCGTTTTATCATCTTACGGTTTTAGAAACAAATAGATGTGTAAAGTGTATCATAAAAGACAAGTGCAGCAAATGCTTTATGGAGGCTAGAACCGGATCACGTGGCATTTTTCCTTTAAAAACAATCAAACCAATAAATTCACATTTATTTTTATTTTCCTCCAGATGAGGCGGAATTTTACAATATGCAAACGACTGAAGGAGTGGCCGGTGCTTGATGGAGTCAATGTTTAGTAAACCCGAGTGAACATATTAACATATTACTACTAGATAAGACTGCCACAGATAAGACCGAGTCCGTCTGTTTTATTTGTTCAAACGGTTCCGTAATTCAGTAACTGGCTCATTTGTTGGGGACTATTTTCAGCTGCGGATCGAGACATTTGGTGGAGGAAGTATTTAAGTCAACAGAAAGTTGTATGTGGAAATGATACAAATGTTACATTTAAGAGTTTTGCCAGACGGATCCTTCAACAAAATATGACTCATATCAGAAATTAAACATTCCTGAGGCCTCCTTTCTTTATGAAAATGTCAAGACTGATTAAAAGGGGAATTATGAAATCAGTTGCCCAAATACAACCATTTTTTGTGGATCTGATCTATTATTCGACGCATTGCATCAGCTCAGGTATCCTCTAAATGCTACACAAGATTTCTAGAACTTCTATTTCACTTTGCTGTACTCGTTTACAGAGGCAACTAAAGCTTATTATCTGTATAAATTGATAGCATAGTTGGGAAACCTCTCTCAATCCGTCTAAACAACGTCTAAAGATATCCAGTTTACTAAGATTAAGATCTGCTTACAACAAAGAAAAGCAGCACATATTCTAACCTATTTGAGAAGGTGGTTTCTTCGTGATCCAAACAGTTGCAGATTAGTTTTTTGATTATTTTTGAGTATTTTTTATTTAAATGCTGCAGCTCTGATGGTTAAATGAGGCACAGCTGATCAGTTTTACATGTGTGGCACATTTTTCACATTAAAGGAAATCAAATTAAAGCAGGCAGAGGTCACATTCCCCATATCTCCATGATATGAAAAGGCCTAGCGCTGTATAAGCTCAGGGAGTATCCGTCTGTGCAGCTGCTATTCATTTACTTCACAGACGGGACATGAAGATTCACAAAATAAGAGCACAAACTGCGTCTCCCCCTCGATGGCGTTTCTGAAGCAGCCTTTCGTCGAGCTCTGCTGCCTGAATGCAGAATCTTCTTAAATTCCCTCTCCTGTGTTGATCATCCACAATCCCCACCCCACCCAGCACACCCTCCCCCACCCAATACTCCTACCCCACCACAGGCAGAACCTCCTCCCCCACCCGCTGGAGCGCTGCAGACCAGCTGCAGCAGGCCCAGGATCAATTTTTAGAAAGATACCGAATAAATGTCACTGCAGAAAACATGTACGTACACAGAGACAATTATAACTCTGGCATTATATATTTAATGTTTTTCAAGTGTCGCCACATAAAAACAACGCGGTCGTGATGTTTGATGACATCACTGCAGAGTATAACGGGCACTTCAAAAAAGCCTCGGAGGGGAAAAATGTAAGCTACTTTAAAAACATTTTTTTTAAATTAGAAAAAAAAAACATCGAGTAAGACCACTTGATATTTGTGTTTTAAATCAATATCACGGCGGACTACGACTGCAACAGACAAGGTCACCGCTGAAAGTCAAATCGACTCGATATCCGGCTGCATGAAGTGAACCCCAAAGAACCGCAGGAGGACTAAATAAAGGCCGGCATCATAACGATAGGAGCACATTTAACATACACAACAAAGCACGCAGGGCAAGATCACAAGAAGACGGCGTAAGAGGAAGTCAGAGAAAATACTGCAAGTGCCTGCGGGAGCGTCATGGAGACGCGATATGAATTAAACAACAGTTGAATATTCACTGTAAACCGAGCAGCGCATCCCACAGGTACATTTGGAGTCCATGTGAAGATTATACGGAGGTGCACTTTAACGATAAATGAGAAATTAAATGAAATAGACAGAGTAACCCAGACACAATGTACGCTTCTATAAATGCCGGATTGAGTCATGCGATATAAAAAGATTTTCATGTGCAAATCACAAACATTGGGTTTGATCAAATCTCTTCCCAGTAGCCTAGACGCCGTCTCCAGATGCTATAAAACTATTTATGGAATATAACCAGTGATGTTGTTTGGTAAGCGGCCGCAGCAAAACTGGATGCATTTACTGGTTGAATGTTTTGTAATGCATTTGCATGAATACGACCATATAACACGAAATGCCGGATTCAATTTGTGAGTAACACTCATTTGAGTTTGGGACCCGTTGAAACGACCACCTGTGGGTCCTGCAGACATTACTGTGACTACATGGAGATAGACGTCTCTGCCGAGAGGACAGAGGGGAATGTTATTGATGTCTCTGAGGATTTCGATTCTGGAGACGACACATGAGCCAGTGCAATCAAGTGAGACTAAACAGCGTCATTAATGAGGAATAACACGAATAAAAGTTAGACAATTACAACTGAGCTCTGTAGTTCTATCCACTAATATGGAGGATATGTATTGAAGGGACATTATCGTAACACAGGCAGTTTATTACCATACAAGGGACAGTACTAGACACAACAGAGTAATAAACAGTATTACTCTCTAGATGAGTTTTACAGCGTTATTTAACAACCATTTAAGGAAAAAGAATCACTATTTAACTCCACAGGTAGGATATTATTTGATTGATTAAGCTGGTGGTTTTATTCTTGACTAGGCCGATAATACGCGTTTAAAATCTCAAGATGACATTTTCAAATGTCCTTGTGTTAAAAAGAGTCCAAAAGAAGAAGAATATATAGTACACCATCACAGAGGTAACCAGCAAGCATCAATATCTGAGAAGCTGGAATTAGCCGAACAAATGATTGACAAAATTCATTGGAGACGTATTTCCTTTTCAGGAACTGATTTATCGACAGTTTTGAGGTGTAGTTATTATGTGTACAATATGAACACGACCAACAAGGAACAACAACAGTTGAAATCCACCACTTAGCTCACATTTGACAAGCCGGTACCAGAGATTTCAACCCCCAAATACAAAATCGACCAAATTGTCGCCAGGCTGTTAATCAACTAATCCATAAGTGTTTGAGTGCTAGTACTGCTAAATATATATATATATGATTATACACTCACACACTCTATAGAGGTATAAAATCAGGAAGGCAAAACACAACCAAGTGCGATCAAAGACTAAACTACCAAAGATTAGCTTTGCAGACAGTTTCAGCCCCAGAAAGAATATTAAACGTGTATTTAACTTAAATTACAGTGAGGCCATATGATAAGTACTACCATCAAAGTATGATAAACATAGCATTATGTACTATAGGAGTGTTATATGAGTATATCTGTTGGGGGAGGGCCAGCGGACACAGTGCTCCAGCCTAGTGGTGGAAAGAAGCAGGGAAATAAAAGCCACATAATATAAGCTGAGCTCTGAGAGGCAGCCCTCTGTCTGAAATGTGAATACACACTCACTCACACACAGACACACACTCACACACAGACACACACTCACTCACACACAAGAATTTAAGATGGAAACCCTTAATCTGCGCCCTGCATACGTCAGTTCTCGTGATATTTCTGTAATAATGCAGTGAGATTTTAACACAGTTTTCAGAACGGGAAGGAAGAGAAGGGAGGGGGGAAGAAGGGGGGCGAATATTATTAATAAAATGTCTCCTGCTTTAGTCAGTAAATACATAAATAGATAAAAACCAAGACACACAACACTGACCATCCTGTTTTTCAACAAGCTCACAAGTTCACCACAGCAAAAATACAAATAAAAAATAAAATAAAAAAACTCACAATACTGAAATTAATTGATATTTTTAAAAAAGATATTACTAAAATATACAACCACCGCTGGAATATCAGACGAAGCCCGGCGCCACACACGAAGGAGTCCTGTCAAAATAAACCACTTGGTTCGTTTTAATTCGACTAAAGCAGCACATTGCTGTGTCCTCTGGAGGTTTCCTGCCTTTTCTGTTTTTTTTATTTTTTTTAATTTTTTTTTTAGGGCAGCACTAATGTTCGCTATTTCAAGTCCACAAACTCCACATTTCCCCTCTTCGCTGACACAGAATATTAACATTCCTCCTTAAACTGCGGTAATTACACTGGAGACAAAATGTCGGGAGGGATTTGATAATAATATCAATATGCTTCCTATTACAACGAACAGTGCTGCTGCTGCTGCTCCACCGAGTCCTTGTCGAACAAAAAAAAAAAATCAATCTTTAATATCAACGTCGGCGTGGACGTTATTTTTTTTAGGACATCAGAAAATGTATTAAAAAAAAGGAAAACGAATGTCGATGCAACGGCTCGCTGCTAGCTAGTTTCTGTTAAAAAAAAAAAAAGGTGGACTAGCTTAAAAGTTTCCTGATATTTTCACGCAGGCAAACGGCCAGAAAATTAAGATTTTATTTAGCTAATGTGTCGTTAGTGCGAGTGGGGGTTGGTAACGTTCAGGCGAGAGGAGAAGCGGAGACTGTCGACACGACACACAAAGAAATTAATCATTAACACGGAGAAAATATCAGAAATATTACACTGGAATTTAACGGCTGGCTCTCCGGTATAAAGCGAGGCGACGGCTCGGTGTCACACACGGTGGTTTCCCCGTAAAAAATACAGATATCAGCGGTTCATTTTCTACATCTGGGGGAGAAAAAAGTTGAGCCTGGTTGAATAAAGTTGTAATTGCACTCGGGGCAACTCTCGGTGCTCGGTTGATATGGGAAAACAATCAATACGACACGGGCAAACTAAATGAAATAAAACGCGGAATTGGGAGTTACGTTTAAACCGACGCACGGTTAAAATATCCCCCGCGGCGCCAGGTCAGAAAACCCACCGGGCGTACGAGACAAAAAAATCGGCATTTATTTGGAAATGATATCGGCTTTACCTGTATTGCATTGTGCTCCATTGCAGTCCTGCATTCCCTCTCTGAGGCCCCTCTCCGGTTACACCACCGGGACGCGCCGTCACACAAACAAACGCACCAGAAGAGGGGGAAAAAAGGCTGTTTCTTGTGTTATTTTTTGTTGAAATGGGACAGGATCTAGGTGTGGCCAAAGTTTGCCATGGAGTACATTTCAACTTAATGTTAAAGTCACAGTGGAACGGCAGTTGAAGCATCTTTAGCAGCGTGACGTATTTCCGCGTGACGCGGCAGATGTGGGCGGGGTTTAATGCGAAACGAGTTTAAAATCAAATTCTTCTAAATATCATTTAATTTCAATAAAGGAAAACCGCCGTTTGACGTGTGCGGTGCTTAGGGACAATGCAAGTATGTTGCCCTCTTGTAGGATTTTTTTGGGGGGGGAAATATTTCATATTTTCATCAACAGACACAATTACAATTGCATTGCTCATCAGAGTAGAAGAGAGACGCATAAGACAGAATCAAGTAAAATACCAATACTTACTTGATTTCAGTAGGTTATCTAATAAAATGTAAGCCTCACCGCTGTTTACTGGCTAAATTTCATTTTCATAACTGGAAACAAGCAGGTAAAATGAACTAACTTTTAGAAGATGTCAAACAACAGGCATTATCCACTTAATATCAATATACACCGATACAACAGGCAAATATTCACAGTTGAATAGCTGAAAACAGACTTTTTCAAACTCATTTTACCCCAAAATGAAACGTTTTCTGATTAAGTTGCACATTTGGAAATATATATATATATATATTTAGAGGCGTATCTTCCAACCGCTGTTAGCTCCGCCCATAACAGAGATTTAAGATCACCGATTGGATGTTTCTGGCCAAAAGGGCGCATGGTAGTTGTAGTTAACTTCTTCCCCTTAATTGCCATGTGGACATGTTTCTACTTTAGTATCAAACCACCACACGTGCAATCTTACACAATACACAGTGTCAGCAAAGGCCCGAAACAGCACTTCATTGGATAAGACAGGCAAAGGTCATACATGTATAACAATTATTGTTATTATTATTATTATTATTAGCTGAGGGTTTTTCAGACAGACATTAGCCTATGTAATATGCAGTCTCTTGTAGCTGTTGTTATACATACAGTGATTGTTAAACACTAATGAAACGGGCTATATGCACAACAAATCTCTGTAAAGATGTGACTGGGATTATGATTAAGATTATTATTTTCCAGTCGTAGAAGTCCCCGTGGAAATATGAAGCTTGAATATGCATTGACATTCATTATCAGACCTGAAATTGTGACAACAAATAGCTGATATGCATCAAAGGATCAGGCCGTAATGTATGCTGTGGACAGTTTTTTAATATGTGCGCCATTCATGATGAAGTGGATCTTTAGTGGAACCACTCAGTCATATGAAATCATTATTGGATGAATGTATTCAAAATGACATTTCTGTTGAACTGCTCAGATAAAATCTGCTCAAAATTAATCTTGGGGTTGCAAGTAGACATATCTTCTATGGGATCACTCTTCAGCTTTTTTGTGGAAGATAAAACGGATTCACACAAACTCTCAATTCACCCTTCATTCACACCATACAACATACACATGTTCATCTTTGGCACAGACCAGCAGTGCCTCCCTGCTTCCAGTGTTTGTGCTAAACTCAATATCATATTATTTTAACATAATGGCTGATGCTTTAAAGGGGCAACATCCAGGATTCAGAGCGTTAATATAGCAGCAAACAGCTCTTTGCTCTCTAAAGATCCCACTGTGTGTGTTGTTGGTGTTGGTTAGTGCACGTTCGTGCATGTTAGCATGCCCCACTGGATAGCTCATAGCGCCCATCCTCCGGTTCCCCCTCAGGGAAACATTTTTTGAGAGAGAGCCTGCAAGGGGCAAAAGAAATGCTACGAAATCTCCCGTTGAGCACCTTTTAACGGATACGTAACTTAATGTTACCGATGGTGGAGGTGGAGCTTTTTTTACACGTTCTGTCTGCACGCTATTCCACATTTAAAAGTCTCGGTTATTGAACTTCTCTAACGGTCGAGATATCAGGACTGTACTCCCTACACCGCAGGGTGGAAATGACATAAATGAAAGAATACACATCCATCATCTGCGTACACACACAAAACTGTTGAACTAAGCCTTCGACGTGCAAACATTTGACCTGGAGGGAAACGCGAGAGCAGCTTCTGGAGCTCACGTGGTGATGAACAGGCGGATTTAGGTGGAGAAACGTGATCTCAGGACTCATGTAGGCCTTTCTTGGTGTGGGCATTCTTTAAACTGCCATTGCTGCTTTGCTCCGGTAGGGGGAGGAAGCACGTGTCCGTTTACCCCCCCCCCCCCCCTCCCTTTCTCTTCCATGAGGCTGCAGCATTACGTTCATGTCGTGGCAGGCCTCAGATACATCAGGCTTTGTGCTGACGCAAATGAGGCCGCAATTATTTAACGTGGAGTTCGCTCTGCTCGGCTTTGTTTTACACATCGAATCGGTTTGTGACTGTTTTTAATCTTAAGGGCAACACGGAGCCTCCTGGGAAACAAAAAAAAAAAGGAGTGAGCTGTTATTAAAGTTGATTTCAGGCCTGTAAATAAACTAAGTTTCCCTTCCCACAACCTACGACAGATGTAGTTAACTTGGGTGGATCATCAGTGGTGGAGGAAGTATTCAGAACATTTACATAAAGTAGCATAGCATGTAAATACCACAGGATATGGTTGTATGAATGACTTAAGTACGGCACCCGCGTAAATGTACTTATTATAGTTATCTTCCATCCGTTCCATTTTCTGTGCGTAGTTTACTGCTCTCAAGTGCAAACACTCCACTACGAGACAAAATCCTGCGTTCAAGAACACGCTGTTCAGTTAAATGCGTCTCGGTCAGTGTTTCACAATTAAATATGGTTCATGGATCAATATAGCGCATGTTGCATTTTTATTCAAGTGCGGTTTGCTTGTTCGAGCTTGAGAAACGAATCATTTGCAATACTGCCGTCGTGTGAGACCCACGGATGTATAAAAATAAACCAGCTTTGTGACAACGCGTTTATTTAGCTTGAGAAGTAGGAGGATTTCCTCAACACAAAAAAGAACCCTTCCCCCTTCAGTTCATCTCAAAACAGTCAACGTCAGCACATCTGGAGCTACGTGAGTAGTTTTTTTTTACTGAACTGGAAGATGAAAAAATATATCTGAAAATGAACTAAAGGTGCGGAAGGGTGGCGCAAATATATTAACCTCTGAGATGTAGTGGAATACAAGTAGAAAGCAGCATATCACTGTAATAAAATACATGGAACGTACAATGGTGCAGTGCCTGTCTATTTCCTGCCGCTGGATTTACATTTATACAATTCAACACGAAGTCCAAAGACAAAATAACACGACTTGTGTTCATAAACAAACACTGTGGCACAGCTTTGACTGTAGTGCTGCAGTGCTGAGATGAGCAGCTGGAGTGGCCCTTTGCTTTCATCCTCATAACACCGCCCGTGTGGCAGGAAGAGGCTGCTGCAGCAGCAACGCACGCCAGACTGCAACACTTTGTCCTCCGCACGTCAGCGAGAGCTGCAGCGACGCAGGTGTGGAGGCCGGACTTTCCCCCCAGAATTAAGGAAACGTGCCGTCACGAGGCCAACGAAGCACCGCGAGACACTTCAAAACGCTACACGTCGGTCTGATGAACCACTAGGGTCTTGTTTTGGTTTTATGTTGGATACATTTTGATGGACCGGCTTGGTGATGAAAAAGGATTCGATGCATAGTTGTTTAAGCATGCCGGCTTTTGGGACTTAACGTAGATGCTGGTGCCACAGGAAACCAGACAAAGTCTTATCGGACATAATTACATTATACGTGTAACCTCTGGCACGGGCCACTTTTATGTTACTACATCGATGTTTGCAGAGTTATTTTTGCGGAGGCTTGTGTACTGCTGGAGCAAGGACGTGTGTATGTAATACATTTAGGAAGTAATGAAAGAGTTTTATAAAATTCAGTAATAGAGTAATTCATGGAGAAATAATAAAGCATGTTTAGTTCATACAATCATGTCGAAATAAGGAGGTTACAAGTGGGTATCAAAACACCTTTTAGTATATAGTTTGTCCATAAAGGTCTTAATCACACGCCACTGTTCAGAGAATTCAAACTGAATTAATATGATTCATCATCCCGTCTGTCAAAAATACTGTTGGATAGTTTGCAAAGACACAGCAAGTCATGCGAGAGAATGCACGAGAAACTGCATCTCTATTTGATTCCCCTCTTTGAACTTGGCTATGTGGGTTGCTGACCACACACGCGCATGCACACGCACACACAAACTGTGGTTGCCAGGTTTCAAGTGTTCAGTGTGACATTTCGTTATCGCAGCACCCCGTCCTCCACTTCTGCTCTTGTCCAACTGTGTTCAAGGCTGTGAACCGAAAACCTGCAGCACAAAGCTGGAAGGAGCTCCAGTAACTTGCTAAAGAAGAAGTAACAAGCACATTGCAGCCACCAGGAGGCTTGGTGCGTTGTGTAGAGTGAAGGATACCAAACCGCCCACGGGGCGTAATGGCAGTAGAAGTCTTTGCATTGTGCGGACGGTTAAAAGCGGCTTCCTCTTCCCTTAAAATACACGATCACCCGTCAACTGCTGCTCTTATGTAGCAATATATCAGAGGTCTGATGGGCTCGTTGGGTAAACCAGCTTTCTTTCTTTTCATTTTCTTTTTTAAAAGCGCAAATTTGTCCCAAGAAGAAAAGCTACACATTCCCATTAATAGTTTAATCCGTAATTATTTGCTTATAAACATATTTTCTAAATTTATTGCGTCTGCGCGTTCCAATATCTAACCGGGATTTATTTTGTCGTAAGAATCAGAATCTTTCTATCTGAACGGTTACAGAGTTGTTATCAAGAGAAACAAAGATGTCACAGGTCACATTTCCACTGAATGCAGGTAACTTAATCTTTAAAAATCATTTAAAAACACTTGAGATTGAATATAAATAATTTATATAAAAAATGCATTTTATATAAAAATTCTATTAAAAATGTTATTACCTTTATTTCAATTAATCTGATTCTCTGACAATCAATCATGTCTATTTTTTAATTTACATTTTTTACTCAGCAACCAGAGAATGATTATTATACTTTTTGTCTCCATCATTTGTTAACGAATTGGCTTTTTTTTGGCTCGTTGAGACAAAAGTCATGTTTATAGTCAGATTGTGTGAATGCTTCAGTTCCAACAAACATTCTGCGTGCAAACGTTTGCAGCGTTTCTTACATCCGGGTCACTAGTTTTCTTTTTCTCTTTGCTGAGCAACATAGAAATAGAAAAGGAGCAGAACAGAAAAAGGAAAAAAAATAACAAGTTTGACTCACTGTTGCCGAAACAAAACGTACTCATTCATAAGTTCAGCTATAAACAACAAACAATAATTATGCACCATCTTCGTCAGAGTCTCTATTGGTCTTCCTCCTCCTCCTCCTCTTCATCGTCGGTCTCACCGTCACTCTCCTCCAACAGGCGGGACTGGCGAGCCAGCCGCTGCGCCACAGCCGTTACCATGGCAGCGCCCTTCCCGCTGCCGTCCTCCGAGACGAGGAAGGTGATGTCACACTTGGGGGCGAGGAGGCGCACCGTCGCTCGGAGCTCCTCGCTGAAACTACGGGCGGAGGGGGGAGCAGACGGGGGGAGACAAGAGACCATATTCAGTGCAAAATAAAAGATAGATTTATCATGAGAAATGTTTTGTTGATAACACGGATGCAAAGGCACGAACGGGACTTTTAAAGATGTTTTGATTTGTGTCATGGTCTTAACATATTTATACTGTTTAGAAATTATTTAATCCTGGTTCATTGGTTCGGTGGAGGTTTTCCTCTCATCCCCAACTAAGATAAAGCTTTTTAGTAAAACAAAAAATTCCGTCCTCGTCGCATCTTTCTCATAGAGCGTCTCACTTGGGGTGCTTCTTGTAGACCGTCCCGTCCACGCCCACAGTGGTCTTCAGACGCTCCTGCCGGCGGTTGACCCGGATACGGTTGGCGAGGGTCGCCAGGGCGGCGCCGCACAGGCGGGCAGAGCGGGAGGAGATGGCGTCGCAAACCAAGCGCACCACGCAGGAGTCCACCGTGTCCCATTTCAACCCAAACTTGCTCAGGACTTTCTGCGTGTTTTCCAGACCGTTGTCCTGCCTGAACCAGAGAGTTATAAAGAGTTTATAATATTCAGTCTGAAATAAATGCACACAATATATAAAAATCAAAAGACATTAAACAAGTTTAAAATGACTGAATACCCAATAAATAAATGATTAGATCAGAAGGTTCATGACTCCACACAGCGTGTCAAAACAAAAGACACCGTGGACGATTGATTTGAGGAGATTCATCAGACACTCACTCTTCAATCTCGGAGATGAACTTTGTCTCGAAGGCTTCCGGGGTCAGCAGCGCCTTCGAAGTCCGTCCTCCGAACAGCAGCCCGTCCTCCGTCAGCCTCACCAGCAGAAGCCGAACGATCTCTCCCAGATACATGCCGCTGATCATCTTCTCAAAGCTTCAGAGGACACACAATACACAAAAGGGGATTAAAAAAAGCCATTTTCTCACTATTCCTCACTGGAAACTGTCCTCATCCCAAAGTGACCCTAATTGTGGTTTGACTTTTCATCTGGTGACATCCTTTATCCCGTAAATAAAGATTCCAAATGATCCGCCGTACTCACGTGTGGACGCCGGGGTTGATGGACATCTCGTCCACCACGACGTCGAACTCCGTCTGGATGTCCCTCAGAGAGCCGTCGTCCCCGAAGCCGCCCCACTCCGTGTTGATGCACATCCGCCCGGCCTCGCCCTCCACACGCTTCACATTCTTCATCTCCTCCATGTAGCAGGCGTTGGTTCCTGTGCCTGAAGCGGAAGAGATTTGCTTTGGTCTCATTATTTTGTCGTTGGAACAACATGTGTTGCAAAAGAAAACGAGGTGCGTTAATAGACATCTGCTGCGTTGCCGGTCTGCAGCTGGATGCAATATGCAACCTCACCACTAGATGCCACTAAATCCTACACGGCCGCCCTTTAAGGGATCGGGAGCTGTGGCGGCTGGTTGTACGTTAAAATACAAATGCACACGTGCACAGACACACACACACAGGCACGCACGCACACAGTTGGTGTAATCATTTCCCGATGGAGAATGGCTTGCTTTGTATTCTAGTGCACAAACTAATTAGGGAGCAGAAGGGAGCTACAACACGACCCTCATTACACCCCAACACAAGATGTCTCTCAGGTATAAAGTGGTGTGTTGTGTGAGGTCCTGGTACACCTCAGAGGATGCTGACAGAAGAGCCTCCTCCTGGGTAATGTGGCTCTCCGACTATACCACTTCTGGGAAATACAGTAACAGTTTTTACAGTATTGCAGTTTTAAAAATAGTATTAGCCTCAAAATATATTAAAAGGTTATGTTTCAAAATCATATACACTTAAATAATGATGGAATGAACATTATGCAAGTTTGAGCATATGTTGATGCTTAATACAAACACATTTTATATCTCAGTACAATTGCCAATTTTACAAAAGCAAATTAATACGTTTTTTTTTGAGAAATCCAGTGAAAACACTCATTTCCTGTGAGCTACATACGATGAAATAATAATAAGTTGTTCACTTATTAAAACGGTTACCGATGATCATGCCGATCTCGCAGCTCTGGTCTCTGAAGCCGCAACTCATCATCGTGCCCACTGTGTCGTTCACCATGGCAACTGAGCCTATGTCGTAGTCCTGCACACACACAGAGAGAGAGAGACAGGTGTGTATGTGCTTCCTATTTATAATCTGTACGCCACACACACACACACACACACACGGTGCAGAGAGAACCTGCAGTACGTCAGATCACTTGGAATCAGAGTCAACAAACAACATCGAATTAGCTTCATCACAGTCAGAGCAAGAGATAAACGACCGCATGTAGCTATTCCACTGCAGTAATTAAAGATGCAGGGGAGCATTCTGGGAAAAAAAGCAGCTTAGGCAGCAGGATACTTGTTGTTTGGGTTTGATGCAACATCGTTCAACTTCTCATTGGTTTCAGTGGATCTGAACTTCGTACTTCTTTGTGTTTTCAGCTGGACAATAACACTAACCATTATTTTAATAATCAACCGCTTTCCTAATAAAGGAACGGCGCATTTTCTCTTTAAAATATCTAACTAACGTGAAAATACCAAGATGGAGAATACTTTCTTTGCCCCAAGCCCAAGGAGTATTGAATTAGCTTCTTTTAAAAAAGCATTTAAAAATAGTTAATCTATAATCTCCATTAGGGATTAACCTGCCGATTACTTCCCCCATTAGACTGACCCCTCTCCTGCGAATGGCCTCCTTCAGTAACTTCACCACATCTTCGCCCTCCACTCCGGAGCAGTTGAAGCCTTTGGTCCATCGGATCAGGATGCTCTGTGTGCAGAGACCGTTTCACATGAAACACAGATACATTCGGACCGGATGAGATGATTAAACCATGAGGTTTAATTTTCCCAAATTAAAACGTGTGGTGTGTGTGTGTGTGTGTGTGTGTGTGTGTGTGTATTTTACCTTGTCGATTTCTTTCTGCTCACAGGGGAAGGAGAAGGTGAAGCCCAGAGGAAGCGTTTCTCTCTCCAGATTGTGAGAGAGCAGGAAGTCATAGAGGCAGGCGGCGATGTGGTCGAACAACTGGATGAAAGAAAGATGGATAATTATCACCTTAAAAAGACAAACAGTACATCCAAGTAGAAAGAACGGATTTATTTATAAGTTTATAAGTAAAAAACCATAAGCTTAATATTAAAAATAATCAATAAAGCACAATTTATCATAAACATCCTTTAAAAGTTATCTTCTGAAGCGCGTATTCATCTCAAGTACTTGAACCCTGCAGGGTGGCTCGTGTAATTCCTCCATAATCAATAATAACTGACTGACCGTAAATGTAATTATTAATCTCAATCTGCAAAACCGAAATTCTTAGGTGAAGTACAGTACTTTGTCACATCCCATTTGAACACTTTAACACACATGTATGTGTGTGTGTGTGTGTGTGTATTTGTTTAAACGCCGCATCAGACTCGCCTGTTCTCCGGTTCCCTGCATCATTTCTTTCGGGATGGCGCAGATCTGACTGTCCATCTTCAGCACCCTCTGCTGCTCCTCCATCACGCGCACATGCAGCACCCGGAAGTTCGTCCCTCCGAGATCCAGCGCCAGGAAGTCGCCCTTCTCTGCCGGGAGGAGGGAAGCGCATCGGTGGGCCGTGAGCGAGTTGCGAAACAGGAAAAGTAACGTGAAGTCAATCCCGATGGAATGTCCGGTAATGCGAAGGTACCCGTCCCGTCCGGCGTGGCCCTGACGAAGGTGGGCAGCATCTTCACGGGCGCCTTGTGGTGAGAGTGTTTCCCCAAACCCCGAATCAGGTCCTTCCTCAGACGCTCAGACACCTCCTGGAGCTTCTCCCGAGTCAGATGGAAACGCTCCAGGTACCTTTGCACCTGCAGAGAGAGCGAGAGAGAGAAAAATGTCGTACAAATTGAAACTTTAAGTCAATTATATACACACACACCTCTTCATATGAATCAACTTTATTTCCACACACAAAATATATAAAAGTGATCATTTCAGGAACAACATGATTCAAAGATGTTTCCACAAGATGGCAGTGTTTCCTTAGAAATCTTCCCTTTCACCCACTTTGTGGAAAACTTATATTTAAAATGGATTATAGAGAGTTCCCTGTTCTCGTCATCATTGTTATGCATTACTTTAAGCTAAAGTGATCCGTAAAAATATATAACTCTTTTGATCCCCGTTTTGTTTGCTTTCCATTGATCCCAATTGGCCTCATTGGTAAAACGCCTAAATACTGATCAGCTGTTCCTCTTTGCGCATACCGCATGACAGCTCTCCCTGGATCCCTCTGACAGTAATAGAAGTTTGTCCTCCATGAACATCAGAGACAATGTTCTCCTGGGAAGTCCCGCTGTCGATGTATGAACCGAGCTGTGACTGAAGTCCACCTCGCCTTTACAGTGAAGCATTCGAGTGAAGGGCTCTGTATGAATTGGGGTATTCACCTAATCGACGCATGACCTACATGTGTAACCGTCACGTCGGGCGCAGAGCGGATGGGAGAGTTAGATGGAGGCCATCTTGACCCGAGAGTTATTTTGCTCCTTAGTTCAGGAGCTTCAAACAGAGTCTCCGTGTAACAAGGTGCCCGGCACCACCGCACTTAAAGAAAAACAAAACGGCTGCAGGTTGGGAAGTTTCAGTCACACACGTGCTTGTGTGTGTTATTCGTATCCTCTCAGAGAACTCCGCTGTAGCACGACAGAAGTGAATGATTGTGCAGATTGTGCTTAAGAAATGGAGTTTTGTTCTTCTCGGAGTTCGGTTCATGCAAATCTATTGGTTGTTAATTCAATGGAAGTTTGAGAAGAAAACTAAAAGCCCTTCAGTGCCGTTGCCCGGAGAAGAAAAAAAAGAGCTTAAAACTCTCAGTTTCAAGCTCACCTGAACGCCTCAATTTATAAAAAGTACGAGCTGCAGTTATTCTACAATTGACTTTGGCCTGTGCTCAGTGAAAATAAAAATAAAAGGATGCAAAAGAGGCGCTTGTGTCTGTTGTTTATGCTCCGATGTTTCTGTGAAGGAAGCGTTTCTGCAGGAAACCGGCTGGTACGACACTTTACGATCGTCTGGAGATGCCTGCATGCAACAATTCTCTCCGAGTCCCGTTTCCGCTTTGGTTGTTGGTTATTTCAGACGCTGGTGGAGTGGTAACCCCGCCCTAAAGACCGGGTGGGTGAATTTGGGAAATGAGCCTGGGCAGGATTAGATCCAGGTTTCAACATGGGGCCTTGGACGGGTTCACCAATAGCCGATCTGAGGTGTGACTGCCTGTTTTTTTTATGTAGATGAAGCAGCTAGGGCAAGTTACAACAGTCCCGCTATCCCCGAATAACATCCTGGAGGAACGCTGGGTAACGATTGCCTAAACCAGGACATGAACCAGGACCCACCTCAGGTAGACTGTGAACCCATAGGATATTTACATTACATTTAGCCGAAGGGACTTACAACTACAAAAGGTGCATTCAGGCGTCTTCAAGAAAACTACAAAGAGCTACATAATCGAGTGCAGCATTAAGTGCCACCTGTTCAGGGTATAATGGTGCTGTGAGTTAATAGGTTACTCTGCTTGGGGGGTTTAGCGCTAGAGCTAATAACTAAAGTTAACTCAAATATATTAATGTATTCCTGACACATTTGGTCCTGCAGTAAAAAATGTTCTTCTTCTTCTTCTCGGTTACCTGCACACAGTCTTTTCAGGATTGTTCAGGTTGAACAGGCTGTTCTTTCGCCCCCTTCTCTCCGCAGTCGTAAAACTCTTTCTTCCTCTTTTTCTCTCACAGTTCTCTCGTGTCTCTGCACGCTTGCTGCCGTCTTGTTACATTTACGATGGCGTCACTAACTTCATTCCTGCATAGTGACTCCGACGGCTCTGCGTGGAGACGTTCTTTGTGTCGCGGTGAAACAGTGCACCCTGACGTCAAAGAACAACTTCATACTATAACATGTTGCTGAAATGATCCGCTACAAGTAACAGTCTTGGATACAGGTAGCATTGGAGTACAGCAGTATTAGCATCAAAAGGTAGTCATTTGCAGAAACATATTTAATATTTTAATAATTGATGCATTATTTAGTTATTTTAATATTGCAGCTGGTAAAAGGAGGGTATATATTATAAATAATTCCTACTGAAGGTATCTTGTAGAATTTCACCAGAGGATTCATAGAGTTTTATATACTTATACATATATGTATTATATGGAAAATAATTCAGTTCTTCAATAAAAGTAGTTAAATAATAAGTATAGTAATTGCCCCTAAATATTAAAATATGCAAATAAAGTGGCAGAATATTTTTAATAATCAAGTACTAGTTTATCCGAGTGAGTGTATAGTGAGTAAATAAATGTAGTTCATTGGACATTAAAAGGTAATCTGCAGGTTGTCTAATAAACAAAGGGTGTTGGGTGCGAGTCCACACGTCGCCTTGAGGGGTTTCCTAATTAAATCTGCTGAACTTCTAATTGTGAAGCCGAATATAGTGGAAGCCTTCCGTTGTATTATCAAAATAATAAAGTCATGTGGTGACAGCTCATCCTACACAGAAGTGACTTATCCTCAGTCATGAATCAGACAGGTAAACGCTTTGATTTCCTAATGCAGGAATCCTCCCCAGCCAGCGCCCAGAACAGGCCGTGTTTTTCCACTCGAGAGAAAAAAGGTCTTAAGCGAGCAGGAAGTCACGGCGCTCAAAGGAAGGTTTCCCTCCTTCATGTGAGACAATACAGAGTTCACATGCAACAATGTCTTCATATGTCTTTGTGTCTTAAGAGCGAACGCCAGTAGCTCCACTGTCTACACGATGCTAAGTAGTATCGTTGTTTGTGACCTTCGATCTTTTACTCTATGATAAATGTCCTCCATAAGACTTAAAATACTCATTTGGCAGCTGAAGTGTGACTTTATACACACTGTTGAATCTACAGTACAATCTGCACACCAATCAAATCATGTTATATTTTATGGGAGGTGTATATTTTTCATCGAGGCAAGAACACAAGTTGGTTTAGTTTGTTACTTTGTTACTTTCCACCACTGCCTTTGGTTTCAACTTCTCTTCTTTAATAGTCAACTTATGCACACGTTGTTTCTCGTTTCAAACAGCCTGAACCTTTAGATGTTTTGGTTCTAAACAGTACATGTTGCAGAATGAGAAGCGCACAAAGCGCCGGGCCGGCGTACCTTGATGAGCGTGTCCGGGGGGATGCCGTCCGTGTGCAGAGTACAAGTCTCTCCGCTCACGTCGGCCGTCTTGGACATCTGTGTGCTGCTCATCTGGACAGAAGAATTTAAAAGGGTAAAACGTATTGTCAAATTCCTAGCAGCATAAATCATGTAGTTACGATAGAAAGAGTCAGTGTGAGGCTGCATCGAATGAGCTAGTCGCTAACATCGCAATGCTAACGTGCTCACAATCAGGCACGTGCACTTTGGGGGGCAGGTGCTCAAAACAAAACAATCGACAAAATTATTCATGAAATTAAAAACTAATAATTAAATAATACAGTAGGATATTTTAAACTTTATTATTATTTTTGTTAACAAACTAACTAAATAACAGACCAAACAAGGCGATTTAGCAGGTACGAGAGGGTGTACTTTATCGTCAATGATGTTACAGTTCGAGGGTGTTGTTGCAAATTTTGTAAATAAGATAAATTAATGTTGCGCATAAAAAAACAACTGTAAGTATAAGCAGTATTACACTAATAATGTACCACAATGTGCCTCACCAGACAGTCATGCAGCTCAACATAAGACCTACTTTTCATTTCAACAATTGAATTACCAGTGAACTCTAGTTTGTAGAGCAGTAAAACGGTCTGCCTGTATCTCTCCCCCCTCTCTTCATTAAACATGACAAACCTCAGTAAACAGCTGGACGAGGCTTTGAAATTGGATTTCGTTCATTTTTAGGAAACGTCGGACCAGTTGCGGCGCCAATGTGGTTCATTTATCACCAAACAACATCGGGGGGGATTTTGCACAAACAGTCATCAGTCGGTCTGATGCTGCAGCCGCTCGGCACGGAGGCAGATGGAAATGTCGTGATGTCTTTGACCCGATGGAAGCGTTGAATGAAAAGTCAAGAGGATCACGTCAAGTCAGTATCAGGCCATCCATCAGGAAGCACAAACATCTGTAACGCTGAGGAGGTGTTTGTGGACACACCGTTAACAAACATTGACACAGGAGACGAATAGAAAAAAGCTATTTCACTGCAGTTTAGTAACACGTGGGCTTCGTTCCCAGGCTCCATATTTCCTCATCAGGGTTATTCCGTATGTCATTGTCAGCATGGAGGTTTCAGAGTTTAAAAAATACACTTTCTTTCTCAAGATCATGTGGCTTTACAGTAGTGAGTCCAGAAACGGGAAGTTCAGTGGGGAAACAGAAGGGAACGGGTCCTTATTTCACTTCCACCTGTTATCCATCGGCAGACCGCTCCAAACACACTCTGCGGTGTGAGGAACACGGCGACAAAGAACGGCCCTGTTTATCGGTTAAAGGAAGCATCTCGCTTGGGAACTGTCCCAAGTCCCCTGCGGAGGTCAGAGGTCACGTATTGAGAGCGCACACACACACACACACACACACACACGATGCCTCCAACTCCGCTTCACTCACCGGAAGTCGAATCGAACGACCACAGGATCAATTCAATTAGGTTTCTGAGTACCACTAAATAAAGAAATAGTAATATATTGGAAGCCGGATGATAAGAATAAAGTATTTTAAAGTGTTTCGTTGAGGATATTGTTTGTCTACAGGGATGCTGGGGACCAGGTTCATGATTAAAACGGACAACCGGCAACACTCACTTTTCCTCCACCTGTGGATCTGTGGCGGTTTGTGTGTTGGCCTCGCCCCTCAGACGCTCTCCTGAGCAGGAACAGAACAGAGGACATGTTTAGTTTGACCCACTGCTGTGCCTTTTGTTTTATTTCATGTATATTCATATCATTTCAGCTTTAAAATGACTCCAGAAGCAGAAGTTTTGAAGACGGTTTAAAAGAGCAATTGAGTTTTGTGAAGGCGGCAGAAAACCAGCTGGTTCAGGAGAATAAAAAAAAAAAAAGAGACAAACATTATAGTTAAAGTCAGAAAAACCTCCAGGAGAAAATGTTTAGAAAGGGAAGCAGAAGCTCTCGGGTTTAAATGAATGACTACATTTCCACATTTGAAGAAAAGGAGGAAGGAAACTTGAATTAAATCTTCTCCAACAAGCATCAACGTTGAAGTGGCTCTGTGCGCTTCATCTCCATTAAGGCTCGTTCCTGAAGAGCTGGTCGAACAGGTAGAAACCCGCTGGTCTGCACACAGGAGAAGCTGAAGGAACTCACCTTTTGCTTTGTGCGCCTCTCGCCGACTGGAAGGAGCTTCCCCGGTGACACAGAAGAGACGGAGTGAGAACTCAGCGCGGGTTTCCTCCCACTTCGTCCGCGGCGCCAACGGCGCAGCGCGCAGAGGCGCGGCGCCCGGTCCGAGCGGCTGATCTCACGGGAAAAACACGCGGCCGCTCTGATCCACGAGCGGGATTTGAGACTTCAGAGCGATGACGTCCGTCGCGGACACCTGTGAAGCGCGCGCGGTTTGGCGCGTCTCTCCGCGCGTAAAGACGCACGAGTCGGGCTTCGGTCATGACAAATACATCGAATGTAAATATTATTAATGTTACTGCACGCGATTCTGGACTTTAACACGTAGCAGAGTGTTTGCAGGGAGGTCGTTGTAGGCGTGCAAACTCATCTGGTTAGGGCAGTTTTTCCTGAACAACAATGTCTCATCAAGTAGAAGAAAAGATAGTAAGTGGTTTGTTGCCACATCACAAAGGTATTCGCAACGAAATGTTGTATTATCATATTTGTTGATTATTGATTTGTTGAGTTCCAATCTATAAAAAATAATTAAAAAGATCTGATCCCGATCAAACTGTTATTTTTAAGTTGAAGTTGCCTTTTAGTTTTTCCAAAAGCTGCAAACAAGTTTCCATCCAAATTCAGCATCAAGTTAAGTGAATTTCTAGAAAGCCGGCCAAAAAAAAATTGAATTGAAGAACCATTAGATAAACTGGTCATTGTTTTTTGATACACAATATATCATTTTCCTTACAGGTTCTATTTTTCAATGCTACCGTTTTTTTTACCTAAAGTAAATGGATCTCACTACTGTTGTCATGGCAGCACATTAATCTGCACAATTAGAACGTGTGTGCGGTTACTTTTGGTCCTAAAAAATGGGCACACGCGTGTTTTCCTTCAAACTGGAAAAAAAAGCTCTTCATCTTTCACCTGATCTCAACTCAGTAACAACTGTTGCTCCTGAACTTTGGCTCAACAGAAGTTGTGACAGAGTCTTGAGACACCAACAGTCCACATACCGCTGCATTGCATCAAAGTCTCACAGGAAATACAACCAAACCGACACCGAGGACCAACTGTGACTGAGTAAGTCGGTTTTTACTCCTGGACAGAAGAAAAGCACATTGTTTGACCCCCTAAAATCCCGCAGCATCACTTGCAGATCTCTTCCTCCAATGAACCAACACGCGTGATCAGTGTGTTACAGCCAGTTTACTTCTGTTTAGAGACATCGAGTCAAACAACTTCAACTCCAGAGCGCCAATACATATTCAAGGTTGATACAGTCAGACGAAAAAGGAACAAAGAGCATTAACTTATTTTTGGACTGACACATATGGTCCGCCCACGCATTAAAATAAACTACTCTGAGAGAAAAGGTCGTTGAGAAGCGAAGCCACGGCGTGTTGGAGCTGCTTTCTGCAAGATGAAGTTGATGGACAAACGTTGAGGTCATTTCCTCCACCTGGCCGTTTCCTGATTTAAACTCAATTGCACCTCCTTCCCACACTCGGTCACATTGACAACAGGGGACGCGGGTTCAAATCCCATTTCATCGGGGTAACAAATGTTGTAGGTTGACAAACTGATGGAATTAAATTGAAGCGCTTCGATTGAACATAATTTGCTCTGAAATGGAAGGGATGGAATGTGGAGAGGTGACTTTAGCGTTGCTCCTGTGGCGCACGGAAAAGAAGGCCCTACATAAACGGCTGCTATAATCTCTACGGTGGCCCTTTTGGGACACTCTCAGCGGGTCAAACATGGCTTCAGTTAACAGGTTAAGTTAAATTGACTTGAGTGAACCTGCACAGCTTGACAACCCGATCCTGAAAAATCAATTTATATGGGATTTTTAACCCTGCCCCCAAAAAGACACTTTACGAGTTACTTTCTCAAATGAGAGAATTTTCTGTTTGTTTGTCATTATCAGTGGTTGGATTTGAAGATGTTATTTAGGTCTAGGACATTTGAACTTTTTCTATTTTCTACTATTTTTAAAAACAACCAAAAGTGCATTAATCGAGCAAAGAACCTGCGGATGAAACGATAGTGAAAGTAATCACTATTTGCGGCCCCTAAATGCACAATTGTTTCGGCTCTTCGTGTCCATTCTTCTGGCTCTGGCAGAGGAAGACAACATCACCGTACCCGGCTCTGATTGGACGGTTGTTTGTCCACCGATCAATGGGACGGCATTCAGAGGTCTGGTAGAGATTAGCTCGTAATATCTGCATTAGTTAAACACAAGCTTACATGCGAACATCATGTGTACAGTTTGCATGTGACATTTCCTGTTTGAAGGCCTGTAAAACGCTGCCGGTGTGAATTTGATTCCAAGCAGAAGGTGTGGAAGACACAGAGCTAAATAAACATAAAAAAAAGGTCTCATTACATTAAGAGGTAGTGTGGAACGCCTTCAACGTACACAAGCGTTGAAGCTAGTGGTAGAAAAAGAGCCGGAACCTCCTTTGAAACTATTCAAGTGCTCTGTTTGTTGTCGTTTACCTGCATAAATATGGGACATCAGGAAGGTGCTCAGTTTAGAACAAGTCTATTTTATCTTTACGTCACATCCACCTGATGGCGCCTCGGGTTAAGGCTCTGGCTTCCGGTAGCGTCCGTCGGCAGCGGGACGCCCTCATCTTCGTCTTTGACTCAGCGTCTTGGGTCGCGGCTTTTTCTTGAAGTCAATAAGGCAGTCGGTGGCTTCTGAGATCGGAGTGAAGGACCTGATGGGAGAGTTACTGATCCTGAGCGCTGGAACGCTGCCCTGCTCCTCTTTGTCTTCGTCTTCATCATCATCATCATCATCCCGCAGATCAATGACTTCTCTGAAAGGGAGAAGAGACACAAGAAATCAAGGCTCGCTGAAGTAGTAGATTTTACTGGTAAATTAGAAATGACTCCCTGGACGAACTCATCTAATTGTTCACTTCACTCCGTGCCGTTTGCCAGGATCTGATACTAAATAATACTTTCTCTTTATTTGAAACGACAAGATAAAAGTGTTTGGTCTTCACTTCCACTGGGAGAGATTCTGGATCTAAATGTGCACAAAGATAACAGAACATTCAGCGTCACAGAGTTTGTAAGACGTCTTTACCCCGGCAGGAGTCTGGATCCAGACGGCCCGGCTCCTGTGAACACAACAAACCAGCACAAATGGGAATTCAATGAGGAGTTCTGATGATTATAATCAGTTTTTTTGAGGCTGAAAAAACATACATATGACAATTCATAAAAAACATTTAATCTGGTGATTACTCAATATTATGATGGTTCTGAATTGATTTCCTGTCAATGACCCCAGACCTCCAAAGTCGTTTTCTCTGAAAGACTCACCTGAATCTCTGCTCTCTGTTTGCTCCAGAGCCAACAGCAGATTTCCCTTCTGAAAGGTCAGAAATATTGAAATATAAATATGAAAAAATGCATTTCTGTAGCCACAGAACAAACAAAATAAAGCAGATTTTCCCATCGTGTACGAGTAGGTTTTAATCTGGTGTAAATAACCGTCTTACCGCTGCCGTCTTCGGCGCCTGGCGTTGGAGGCAGAGCGTTGTGTGTCGGCTGTATTCTTTCAGCGGAACAGATTTCTGACAGATGTAACATTTCTCTTGATTCCTGCGAGAAAAAATATTCGATATTCAAAATACGAAGAAAATAAAAACGCGCCTGTCTGGAAGAGAACGCGCTGGTTCTGTTGCCAACGACAGGTGGCACCTACTTACTTGCCAGTGGTGGAGAGTTCGTAAGTGTCCTCGGTTGCCTCTGATCTCCTCGCTCTCTTCCTACGAGGCTTCAAAGACACTAAGAAGTGGATTTTAAATAAACGGATGGTAACAGTCACAAAATAAAACGTTGTCCTTTTCATCCAAAACTGCCATTTCAACTCTATTCAACTATAGAACTGTTGTTTAGGATATTGTGCAAAACTGTCCCTCTCTACGTTTTGTATCACTAGACTACCTGCTGCACTGCTTTCTCCTAAACCTTTATTTAAGAGGTTACGTCCTACATCAAACGTTCACAGCCGTGGATTTAGAGAGGCCGACGGCGTTTCTGTCACCTTGCAAGCAGACTTTCTTGGGACTCCGGTGTTCCACGATGGTCACCTCTCCATCGCAGTACGCGGCGTGCCTCTCGATCTCCGTCAGCGGGAAAGACCCCTGACAGATGGGACAATCCACTTTGCTCTCAGGCTTCTGATGGAGGCCGGCTGCCGCTTCCAGTTCGGGAGACGTCGACCTCTGGAGCCTTCGGCCCTTTGTCTCCTCCACGTCTGGATCCCGTCCGGCCTCCTCTGTCCGCTCCTTCCCGACATCCCCGCAGCTCCCCGAGACGTCCCCCCCCGTCTCTCTGTCCGCCGCGGCTGAAAACAAACGCATGTTTTGCATTATTTACTGAGGACAACAACCGGATCGGTGAAAATTTGATCAGAACAGACACCAAACTACAAATACGTTTTTCTGTTCTATTTATGGTTCAATGTGTAAGAAAATACTCACCTGTAAATATTTCACATTAAAATCATTCAAACTTGCCAACCTCTCTCAAGAAAAGTCTGCCTGTGCTAAATTAGAGCTATTTTATTGCGTTTACTTTTATGAAACTGCTCTGAAGGCCTTCAGCGTGCAGGCTTACCGTCCACCTCCATCTCTTCCTCCTCCACCCGCAGCTCATCTTCAGCTGGAGAATCCACTCGTAGAATCATCTCCGACTCCGGCGGCTCTGGACTCTTTTGACCGTCAAACTGAAATCGGAGCGGGAGAAAATGTAGTGGATATAACAGAGGAGGAAGTGAGAAGCGAACTGTAGATCCTCAGATTTCCTCGTGGGACCGCTCACCTCTGATCGCGGGTCAGCTGGGATCATCAGGTCTTGCGTTCGGTCGTCATCGTTGTCACTCAGTTGGGTTTCTGTGGTGACAAACCGGAGCCCGGTGAGAATTTAATGCAGCCATCATCTGCCCATCTATTGTCAAGTTTTAAAACAAAACTCTTTGATTTGTAATGTTTTGTGATGTAGAAAAAGTAAAGCACACCCTGAAAAGGTGGCGCTTCAGTACCTGGACAAACCTCACAGTCATCAGCATCCACTGGTCCATCTTCCTCCTCCTCCTCCTCTTCTTCTGCTGCTTCTTTGCGCTCTCTTTCCCCCTCTTCATCCTTCTCGTCTTCCTCATCCTCCTCTGCGTCGTCAGGAAGTGCATTAGCGGACGCGCACACAGTTCTGCTTCTCAGTTTGAGGCCGTGCCTGACAATGTGATAAATAAACAGCCATCGTACTTCAGATGCTCTCTCTCTCTCTCTCTCTCTCTCTCGCTGTCTTACTTTTTGCTTCCAAGTTTGATCCTTTGTGACCATGAAGGCCGACAGGATGCTAACAAGGCATATCTCCTCTGTAGCAGAGGAGCCGGTAAAGCTGTTGCAGGTTCTTACCGTCGAGGAACGAGCTGCTGAGGGGATTCTGCAGGCGACTCCGATGAAGGGGATTTCTAGGAAGAACACATACAAGTTACTGGATTGACTCACACTAAATTTAGCAGTGGAAATATCAGTTCAGATCAGAGCATGGAAGAAAAACATCAACATACCATCTTCTTCTTCTTCTAATCAAATGTTTGAGTTTTTAGGAAAATGGTTTTAGAACCAAAAGTTACACAAGAGGTTGGAGCCGAGTACAACAGAACGCTAAATAAGGCAGTGTGACAGTTACATTTCCACAATTTAACACACTATCAAAGGTTTAAAGTTTTTAAGGATGGCGACCTGTCAATCCTGAGGAAACACCCCTAAAGCACACCTTGCATTATGGTCTACAAGACTCTAAATGGGACCATAACTGACTAAATGAACATCATGCTGTACCGATGAAGACTTGAAACTAGCGATGGAGACTATTAACTTTACAATAGAGACTGAAGTGTGAAGTAGAGTCACTTTTTACTTCTCTGCTGCCTCCTGCTGGCTATAGGACATAATGCAAGCATAAGGCACCTCAGTTGCTGTATGTCTGAAATGTCAGAGCGATGTTTGGATTGAGATCCAATCACACAAATAAAATAAAATGAATAAAAAGTCCTAATTAGTTAGAGACTGAACTGTTTAAAAAGCCTCATTGTACCTCCGGCTGAGGCAGGACGGCCTCCCCCCACTCAGCCTTCCTGAGCAGACACCTCTGCGCCTGCTTCAGGCTCTTCTCGTACACCTCCATGTGACTCAGGATCACCTGAGGTGACGGATGGAAGGACAGAGAAACAGAAGAAAATGTTATTGGGTTAATAATTAGCTTAATGGAAACTATTCCAGAAGAGGACATAAGTGGAAACAACAGAAATACTTCTGACAAGATGCAAAATGAGGCGATGACCATATTTCTTCTTGACAAATAACGTCATCAAAACGATTCATTCAATGCTTGAATTAATCGGGGGACTTGATTAAGTATTCCTTAATTATAATAAGCAAATCTTCACCTGTGTGTATTCGTCTGGGTCCACCCCTCTCGGACAGAAAGGAACCCCCCAGTGGTAGTACACCGTCGGCCCCACTGCCAGCTCGCCAGACGGGGCGGACGCCCCGCTGACCGCTTCCTGGCTGCCGGTTGGCGGTGGTCCTCGCTCTGTGGAGGGCTGCTGTCTGCTGGTGGATGAAGAGGAGGTATGCAGGTATGCAGCGGCGGAATGTACTGTTTACTTCCACAAAAACTCATAATAATATAATTAGCATTTTTAAACTTATGCCAATACTATACGTTTACTTAAGTTAGTTTGAGGAGCAGGACTATGACTGCAGAGGTCCAATCTACCTGCAGTTCTTCCCTGGAGAGGCAGTCACGTGGTTCTGGGATGCATCCTCCCCGTGTGCCTGGTGAGCGGGTCTCTCATCTGGGAACACTGGGCTGGGTGAGCCCCCCGGCTGCAACAGATGGGAGGGTACGAGGAACAGGGTTGACGGGTGAGAACAGCGCTTTCATCGTACTTCTAACTCGACCTGCTACTGATGACTCGTCACAGGAAGCGCAAATACGGGAAAAATAGACTGACTTTGAAATGATTGCTGACGGGTGTTTAGTCTTTAACAGTTTGCACTGTTGATAATATGTAAAAAAAACTATCAAATCACTGTATTTCTTGGGGTAATGTTGTGTTAAACCAATGGCTCTTGTGGAACAGAAAATAGTAGAGTGTTGGTTACAAATTAAAGCTTTACAATCGTATAAAAAGACTCAAACCAACAATGTGTTTCAGGCGTGTCCCTCAGCTCAAAGCCCATTGGTTCCTAATTAACGACCTTAAAAAATAGGTCACAATCATCAAGGTTCACTTTAAAAAAGTATTTCATTCATTCACTTTAACAGCTCGTCACTGTGGTTTGTATCAAAGCAAATAGTGCAATACCGTGACGTCGTCGTCGTCGTCGTCGTCCTCGGACCAGAGGAGCTTTACATGGCCGGTCAGCACCTTCTCGGTGGAGCCGTCTACCATAAAAACATCAGGACACCCACTGAACGACACGTCCTGGTCACACGACTCCCAACATCGATAGTGAGGATTAAGAAGGTAAAGACAGTGTGACGTTTCACTGTACCTGACTTAGATGACTGATCCGTCTCGCTGTCCTGAAGTAGAAAGAACAGACAGATATTAGAAGGAAATTAGCAAATAAATGTCTGGATGCTTAACTAAAAAACTACCCTTCAAATGTCTGAAAAACCTCATAAAGATTTCAAAGAATATAGTCTTTACCTCCATTTAAAAAACAAATGATAGTTAGAAAACACTTATATGAATGAATACAGTAGGAGATCACAGCTCCCCCAAAAAAATCAGCTAATGCACATCAGAGTTTTATCTCAGAAACAAACTGATTTTACAGTGTGAAATGTTCCGCTCAGTGTGCATCTCGGGCCTGAACTCACCTGCCTGTCACAGCGGGACGGAGCCCGAGTAGCGGTCAGCTCACCGTCACTGCCCGAGCGCCGTCGCTCCGTGGCGGGGGGGCCCGCCACGCCGAACACCGGGCTCGCACAGCGTCCTTGGCTCTGCTCCGCCTGTCCTACCACGCTCTCTGTGGGCTCTGTGCAGGTTGCTGATTCCTCAGTAAGGCCGTCGCGTAGGCCGGGGCTTTTAGGGAACACTGGACTCACAGGACAACAGGACGTGGACTTCACAGAGGAGGTTAAACCCTCCTGAGAACAGAACATGGAGCCCGAGGTACAGTCACGGTCCCCGGGTTTGCAGGCACTTTGAGACGTCTTAAGTTTATTCCTGCCAAATACCGGACTTTTAACATACTCGGGACTCAGATCGGTCTCTCCATCGTCTCCCTGATCAGCCTCTGAGAAGACAGAGGTCTCGGACAAAGCGAGGTCTTTGGAGCGTTTGGGGCTTTTGGGAAACGTGGGACTCTTGGCTCGAGCCGGCTGACACTTTTGAGTCGAGCTCCGACTGTCCTGAGAGCAGGACACAAACCCTGAGGTCCTCCAGGTCTCCAAGACGCTGTTGCTCAGCCGGGCGACGTGAACCGTGGCTCTGCACTCGGTGGAGGGGAAGACGGTGGATTTAGGAGGCTGACAGGTGTCGATCTGGGTCGAGTCAGAGCTCTGGTTGATCGTCGGGAGAAGAGAAACAAATGTGTCATCATACGTGTTGGTGCTCACCTGGTAAATGTTACCCCAGCGTAGCTCAGTTCTTGGTCTCCACCAACTAAAACATTGGTATCTTTAGCTGCTAAAGGCTCCACTTTGTTCACCAGCTCATCTCTAACTGCGTCTGTCTGCAGTGTGCTGATAAGCAGGTACTGAAAGTGTCTATTTGCATGCTTGTTTTTTTCTGAAGCAGGAATGATGAGTGTAACAGTTTAATTCTCTCAAGGTTCATCGAGACCAGAAACAGCTTTCTGCGCTATTTGATACACAGAAAATTGATCAATCTATTGTGATAATGAACCCAGCACAATAATGAAAAGAATGAACGGTTGCTGCAGAATTACGTGGTCTTTAACTGAATGTTTGGGGATTTTGGATTAACGGTTGGACAAAAAAAACAAAACAAATCCCGCTTTGTGAAAATGTGACCAGCAGTATTCTCTGACATCTTACACAACAATAATGGATTGAATAACAAAACAGAAAATGGACCAGATCCATTTAACAGACAGAAATATCCTGGACGGACCTGTGGAGAGTCGAGAGGCGCTGAGAGACAATCGGAGCTGCAGGGTGAATCCTGAGAGAAGACTTTGTCAGCCTGTGACAAGTCAGGCATCTCCAGCAGAGGGCTTCCCTCTTTCCATTTCCTCTTTTTCAGCCGGTTAATAAATGCATCTCCGGCTTCTTTTGCTACTGGAAATACAATACAGAAACTTTTCAAATTAACGGGGCATTGCAGCCAGCTTGATTTAACGATACCATCATACGTTTTTGTCCTTTTTGATCTACTCTTCCTTTCTTTCTGGTCTGTGTCGGTGCAGAAGGGAATTAGACGTAGTGACTCACCTCGGTCCGTCTCTGGTGTGCAATCGTCCTCTGCTGCTCTCTGATTGATCCTCCCATTTGCATACAAGAGTTTCCTTCGAGAGAAGGTCCTGAGTGAACTTTCAGCATCGGTGAGCAGACTGTGGGTCTGGTTGTCCATCTACGACGGAAAACCCTCAACATGGTTTATACAACACTCCTCTAATAATTCATGCACAGCTATTTGGAAGATATTTGTACATTTACTGTAGTTTGTAACGAATTCTGTGTCTAAAATCAGCAGACAGTTAAACAATAATTGTCACGTTTTAACTGTCACGTTGATTAGAAAAAACAACAACTCCTCCGTACTCACGCTCTCTTGGATGGCTTTCCTCATGTCCTCCTCCTCCCGCCGGAGTCTGAGCGCGGCGGCAACGGCGGCTTCCTGTTCACTCAGACGCAGGGCCAAGTCCATCATCTCCTCCTCGGTCATGTCTGAGAGCAGCAGATACGTGGTTACTAAGCCAAGCGGTCAGGGCTGTATGATTATCTCAGACTCTGACATTAAACGTGAGTTAATTAGTGTGGCTTATGCTTTGGATAGCTTTCATTAGACTCTACTTTAGTTATCGGCATCTCAAAACGAGGTTCAGCAGCTTCCATCAAGAAAGTTATCTCACAATAATTGATTTCCAGTTAAGTTGAATATATTTCTGACATTATTCTAATTCTACATCGTCAACAGTTTGCCCCCAAAAATTGGGAAAACATTTGAAAGTTAACGCATTTACATGCTTACTGTGGTATTTTATTTTTTTCTTGTTAATACGCGCTGTTATGTACCTTTGGGTTTGGATTCGTCATCCTTCTCTGTTTTACGTTTTTCTCTTGATGCTGACGGCACAGGCGCCGATGGGAGCTCATCCTGGAAGCAAAAACAAACTAATTGCAGTTTTCTTTGCTGACGGATTTAACACACTATCACATCTAGCCACGTATGAACAATCAAGAGTACTCCGAACTACTTAAAACCAGCAGAGAAACATTTACAAGCTCCATCCAACTATGAATTCAATTATGCCGCAAGGGCTACCCGTGCACCGTCTGCTGCGTTCAATTATTTATGGAAAAATTAATAAAAAGTGACAATGAGGCTTTGGAACAACGCGCTGCTTCCGGAGTTGAGAAATATAAAAAAGTGTGTTCATCTTGGTGGAGTTTAGCGAACGTTAACATTTCATTACGTTGTAGTCTTGGTCGTCCAAGGCTTCGTCCTCCTGTGTGTCTTCGTCGTCCTGCTGGCTTCCTGAGGGAACGTCGCTGGCATCCTTGAGGAGCTGCTTCCTCAGAGCCATCCTGGTGCGCTCCTGAGAAGCTGAGACCAACAAATCTCAAATCGGTTTCAGTCCGTTCACACCTGCACAGATTGTGCACAGTATAGTGTGCAGATGGTGTCTTGTCTCTTACGACATTGAACCAACCACTCGCCATTAGACCACAATTTGAAACATCTGGCGCAGTTAAACAATCTAGCTTTAAATTGCTCATACTTTGACTTTTTTAAAGGGTATGTCTGTGTATGTGATTAAGTCCGTGGTTCAATAACAGGGTTTCAAACGCGCTCCCCAGTAGTGGTTATTACCCGATGATGAAGAGTGTCCTCTTCTTCCTCTCATCTGTCCGGGTGGTCGGTGTGACGTGACGGTACGAGCCCAAACTAACTAGCTGTCGGTTAAAGTTGAAACAAAAGAGCTGAGTGAGGAGCTTGAAACGACCGAAAACAGAGAAAGTGCATATTTAAGGACTCACTAACACAAAAAAACAGTTGCAGTTAACTTAGCTTCCACAGCACAAAAACATCCGTTGACAGGGAAACCAATTCACTACTAGAGACGCTAAAAAGAGCGCATAAAATTTGTATTTTCACATTTCTGTTTGAATACCTTTATAGTTAAAACGAATTGCTTGATTGTGAGCGGTGTTGTTCCACGCCTAGTTTAAATGACGATAAACTAAACAATATTCAGTGTGGAAAGACTCACATCAGAGTTTTCCTCACTTTCGCGGCGCCATGTTTGTTTCTGTAGACGTAGTCACGTGACTACTACGTAAGGCGTGACTTTCACGCTGCCTCCAGCCAGAGCCGTTTAGAGTCGCGTCGGCGAAAGTACAACATCCTATAGTTTTCACTTGGCAGGTCATTTATGTATAGAGAGTTACTGTTTGAAACCAGTACAAACAGGAGGTGAAATAGCAATTTCGGAAAATGAGTCACTAAAATGTATGAACAACATAGCATCGTCAACAATTAGCAGCACAGACATCAAATGACCTTACTATATAATTTGCCCTGTCCCACGCCTTCCTGTGTCAGCTCTGTCACAGCCAGTTGAGATGTTTACAAGAACAGAGAATGCTTCCGGTGTCTATCGTTGGCCCATTAAAGTTACGAATACACGTACATTAGCAAATGTTATCTTTGAAAGCAGGGAAATTGCAGTTCTGGCATTCTATTTGTACTACTGTCTACCTGCATATACTTATGCAAACCGCTCATCAAGTAGTTCCTGGGACTCTACGTAATTCTACGTAAATCAGGTGACAGTGAAGTATTTTTTAACTTCTTTTGACGCAACTCCGCCTCAATACGGCTCTGCATTTACCCGTTTGGATGCGTGAAAGCAACGCATGCGCACTACGACGCCGCTGGCTTTGAGTCGAAATGATGGCCGACGCGATGCAGACGGACGATTTTCCGTATTTACCGTCGGGGGCGGCGGAAGGTATTGCCATGTTCCCCTGACTGTTCCAACGCGTGTGTTTTTTAAAATCAGAATGGCGTGTCAGTGCACGCGGTCACTGTCGCGGGTGACGAAGCTTAACGCGCCCGCGTCGCCGTTAGCTCCACGCCGGCTAACTGTAGCCGCGCGGCGACGCAGCGCGAAGCGACGCGGGCTCGTTAAACTCACCCGGGCTAAGCTAACGGTAGCCGCGTCGGCTCCAAGGTCGACCAGAGCAGGAGCGGCATCGGATGTTGCTGCCGACGGCTCGTCAGGTTAATTCGTCCGGTCGTGCGCCAGTGGAGACTCGGGGCGCATCTTCACAGTTGTCTCCATAGCGGCTCATCCGCAGACGTTGTTTTTTTTTAGGCCGTATGTGCTCCGCTTACCTTAAAAATTCCGCATGTTTTACCTGTTTTACTCTGCGCTTGTGACTATATTTGTCACATTTTTGCATCAAGGGGAATTTATTGCTTGAGCCATCAGCAAAGCCTTAAAGTCACGACTAGCCTCCAAGCATGCGTCTGTCTGCGGTTTGCAGATGTGTTTGTAGGAGTTTGCCTGCTTAGTGGCATTTACAGTTAATGTGTGACCAAGGTAAGTATCTTCAATTTACCAGGCAATAAATACTACGTGGAAAAAGCAGTTTAAAACCCCTCTATGCATACAGAGGATTTTCTTGCATTGTAAGGAAAACTGTTGCTTTTACTTTTGCCACAGATTGTTTTTCTTTTTATAATTCCATTTTATCCCAGAAGGTGTGACCTGATTTGAAATCCCCCCCCCCTCTCTCTCTTTCCTCTGCAGTAAATAAGATGATAAAAGAGCACGGCGACCTGTTTTCAGACTCCCAGTGTAAAATCTGCAGTGCTGTCCTCATTTCGGAGTCTCAGAAGTTGACTCATTATCAGGTCAGTGAGCCCACAGGCGGCTTGTTAACGGTGCTGCTGATGTCGGGGGGGAAGCTGTGCCGCTTGCATACGACCATCTAATGCCCTTTTCCATACAATAAATGGTTTCATCATTTCTGTACGAGCACGTACGAGTTCATGTGGCCCGGGGAGGTAATATTCATGAGACGTGATCGAAGCCCTGCGCCGATATGTGAATGCAATCAACTTCACCGTGATTGTGACCTGCGTTAAAACACAGCGAGCACGAGGGGGCAGAACTCGCCATTTATCAGCCACACAAACTCCCAAAGTCCTGTTCAACGCCGTGCTGATGTTTGTTGTCCACTTTGTGATGAAACTTTTGTGTTTTGTGTCTTTTCAGAGCAAGAAACACGCCAACAAAGTGCGGCGTTATCTTTCCATCCAGAACGAGACGGAGCCGTCGCTGAAGAAGTTCAAGTCGTCAGCGTCTGACGGCGTGAGTACAAAAGGCTCAAACCAACAGTACATACGTGTTATCAGATTATATTTTGTTTGGTTTTCTATTAAATATACTTTACATAAACGGTTGCAATTTGAAAGCGTAACACTTTTTATCCCCCAGATAAAGTCTGTCTGGACCTTTTTGGATTTCAGAATGTTCCATCACAAATTAAATCGTCTGTTTATTTCATTCCTCAATGAGGATAAATGATGCTGCCTGTATCCATAAATAATTTATGCTCCTGTGTGTGTGTGTGTGTGTGTGTTTGGCAGCAGGACTGTAACGGGGATGCCAACCGTTCAAAGGTGTGTCACATATGTAACATGACCTTCTCCTCTCCCGTGATGGCCGAGTCTCACTACCAGGGCAAAGTTCACGCCAAGAACCTGAGGCTGAAAGCTGTCGGCCCGCTGCCCCCAGGTGCGTGCGTGCTTTTGTTCAATTTTATTCCCACCCCTGTGTCTCTCTTTACCTTCCACTTTTGGTTTTCTCCAGCGCTGCGTCTTGTCTTCATCCCTTATTGACAGTGTAGTGGTCACTTCTAAAAGGCGCTCATTGTTCGTATCGCTCCTCCTCTGCAGCAGTAGCATCCCAAACGACGCCGACGGCGCCGCCGAAGAAGAAGCCCGGGGACGTCCCGGCCCCGGGCGCCGACGACAACAGCAACCCGGACCGCTTCTGCTCCATCTGCCAGGCCTCCTTCAACAACCCGCTCATGGCCCAGCAGCACTACGTGGGCAAGAAGCACCGGAAACAGATGACCAAGCAGAAACTGATGGAGACGTACGGCCCCTCCACCGCACCAGGTCAGACCCCACAACCCTTCTTCTTTTCTTTTTTGTTTTTACTCCGTAGACAGTCAGCGTGGTTACATGGATTCGAATGACTGGCTTAGTCGGACTGAAATGGAATTATCCGTTTCATGTAAACACCTTTGCCCGACTATGTGCGGTCCGACTACGATCCGACTAACACCCCTGGATAAATCGATCCGATCCAGTTGATAGTTCTATTGCGGCATGTAACGGTGAATCGGATGAGGAACTGGACCTTGCGTCTTTGCGCATGCTTGAGATCCCGACGGCGTCTTCTCTCCGTTATCAAATCGGCCGATAGCGCCATTCGCATTCGCTGTGCTCCTATTAACATCATGCACACATAGCAGAGGGATGTAGCTTCACCTTGCTCTCCGTTCGCCATCTTTCTCCTAATGTTGATGTTGTTTTTGTTAGTTGTTGTTGGTAGTGGTGAAGAGGTCAAGCGGAATTGGCTGTATCACAACTGGTTGTAATGAAAACAGCGCCACCTATCGTCTCGGATATGACGATATGCTTTCGGCCAATGATTCGATTTATTCACTGCCATGTATATTGGGATAATAGCACCTCCCCCCGAAAGAGAGCACAGTCCGACTAAGCAAAGATTCCAATTATACCACCATGTAAACACACTGAATGATAACAGCCCCTCCCCTCTCTTGTGTGTCTCCAGCTTCCACACTAAAGGGCTACCCGTGCACCGTCTGCAGCATCGAGCTGAACTCCGTGGAACAGTACCAGTCTCACATTAGTGGAGCCAAACACAAGAACCAGTAAGTACACACTTGGTTTTCCTCCCGGATGATCGTCCTTTCAGACGTTGTTTTACACCGAGCGTTTTTCTCCACATGCAAATAAGGTTTCCAATCCCTAAAAAATGACAGATGTCTTTTTACACGTTTACCTTTTCTCTTCCAAGTAGCCCTCGTTATAGCATTTTTCGATGCTTTCGATTGGCCGACATCTTCTGGCCTACATGACGTTGGGGTGATGTTGCGTCTGTGGACGCGGTTTCAGTCTGACGTGTGTGATGTCTGATTCTGTTCTGACTGAACCAGTCGGTATTTTGGAAACACAAACGCGCCTCCAGCTGACCGAAAGGCCCTTAAATATTCCCCCCGAAATGTGTCTTTTCGACAGAGTGAAGAAATCCGGCCTGAACACGGCAGAGAACCACGACGCGGCAGAAGAGTCGTTCGAGGCCGACGTCCCGTACGCTGCCGAAGACGGATACGCCGCCCAAAACGCCGCGTACGCTCCAGAGGACACGGAGTACTCGGAGGAGAACCAGTTTACTTGAAGGCCGGGCCGGTAGAGACTGCAGAGCACTCAGTCAGGACTTGGAAGGACACAAAACAACCAGCCCCATTAACGTATTAACATAAACCTGCCAGAGTCTCTTCTCAGCAGGTCCCCCCACCTCCCCCCGGATCACTCACCCGGACCCTAAAATACCCCAGCGTGGTATTTTACTATTCTGAGTTCTCGACTGAAGCGGTTTAAGTTCTTTTCTTTTTCTTTTCCCGAGCTGATCAAGTCTCGTCTGAGCTGCACCGATCGATGGTCTCGTGGCGCATTGCAGATTTCTAAATGTCAACCCCACAGAAGCAGCAGAGCTCCAGGAGAACGTTGCTGTTTAGACAACATGTGTGTAAATAAAAGATGCCCTTTAACACTCAATCTTTTAAATTATGGAATGACAGTTTAACTAGATGATGGGAAATTGGCGTCACGCCTTCCGCCAGATGGAAGGTGTGTGCGGCTTCGGTTGCCTCTTGCTTCTCCGATGCTCGGAAATGGAAACCGATTTAGAGGCGGCGCGTCGAGCGGCTTCTGGTGGTCGTTTGCTGCGAAGCGCTTGTGCCGGATGCTTTCAGTGCGTTTGGGCCTCAATGGAAGAAGCTGCTGATGTGAAAAGGCAAGAGGATGGAAGTCTCCTGTTGGCTTCCTCTCCATGGCGGCGTGCGTCATGCGAAGTCCGGCAATACCTAAAAACAAAAGTTCTTATTCAAGTAAAACGTTGCCTGCAGACTAACGCTATCGAAATAAAACCGTCAAAAATAAGAATTCTGATGAATAATTCACGTTGCGGCCCTCGTTAGAAGCATAAACTTAAATGATGTGTGGCGGCTTGACGAGAAGATGTCTCACTCTGTTGGAGTTCCGCGCGCGGAGCCGATGCGAAACAGAACCTGGGTGTTCTGCTTGAAGCCGGACAGCAGGGTACTGCAGCCATTCGGGCCCCCTCTGCTAACACTAACGTCCGGGATCGAAGCAAAGCTGCTTCCCGTTTCCAGAGCCTCCCCTGAATGTCGTTGGTTCGCATCTCCGGTGAATGTATTAATGGAAGCGTCTCCTCCTCCTCCTCGGCTTTCTTCGCCCGGTGGCGAAGCGCTGAATGGAACCTTTGCTCGGCCAGACGAGAAAACGTCGTGAATCATTATGACTTCACTAGAATTCCTTTTTACAGTTCGATCTGATCCGATGGTTTTTCTGTTCTGGTGGCCCAGAGTTCCTTGTTTACCTATTCTTGTTTGCAGATAATATATTTTTTATTGTGAACAAACGAACAATCTAATCCGGTTAAGATTTATTTAATAATGTGCTCCTTTAGGATTTTACTCTTACATAATGTCCGTAGGTTGTTTTACCAGAACTGTCATCGTTGCTGCTAAAATGGTTATTGTGATCTCCGAGAGTCTGAACAGGATCCTCTTCTGCTTGAAAACGTACCACAATTATTCAACAACAAGCATTTTGTAGAGGTTGATGTCATTTTCTAAAGATTCAGACAGTGTGGATAACGAAATGTAGAAATGAAAGGGATTACGAAATGAAGAAAACCGTGATTGTTCTCCTTTCTAAAGCAGTGGATCTGTTACAGCTGTGAGCTTAAAGCATAAGCTTTTTTTTGTACCGTTTTAGTTTTACTGAAATATTTTTAAATACTTTCTGAGTTTTTGGGCTTTGTAAATTCTAGAAGAGACTGAAATCATTTTTGCCCATAGCAGAGATGTTCAACAGTGATGTCATTGTTAGAATAACGTTGTTGTTGTTGTTTTTGTCCATTTGTCCTCCTGGTTGAATTTCAGCGTTGAATGTTCCTCAACCATGTTTTGCTTCAGAGGGCTCATACATACTGTAGAGTTCATGGTGTACAGGAGACAAATGGCCTTTTTTCTGTTTCCCGTGTGTGTTTGGCGTTCTGTGATCTGATTTGTTTTAAATATATATGTTGTGTATAACTTGAGGGGGGGGGGCAGCAAATGATGTGCATAAAGTGCAGAAATGAGTTGGTTGTTTCTTTTTATTTGCCTCAAACACACGGTGTGCTTAGTTTGTACATCCTCAACTCCTTTCCTCAACCACTTAACAAAAGGAGACCTCTTTGCTTTGAAGCAGGAATGTAGAATATGAGTTTAACGTTGGCACGACTGATGTCAGCTGAGCGTAATACGGACGGACAAATCCCACTTTAATCCGCTTCAATCCAGCCACCCGATGAGCTTTAATAACGACCCACAGGCACAGTTCTGCACCGGAAAACACAATCTAACATCCAACAAGCGACTTAAGATTCTCCTCTTTTTTAAGACACGCGGGGCAGAAAACCGAGGCGTTAACCAACCGCAGAGCGAGACCCAGAGGGCAGCGCCTTAGCGTCACCACAGGGGGGCGCACCGAGTCCGTGCTGTCGGGACGACTCCAGTGACCCGTCAACAGGAAAAAGGTCAACAAAATCCAATCTTGTTGATAATGGTGGTATCAACAGTGCTATCGAACAGCACGGAGCTCTTTTTCTTCTGCTTTTCTCTTGGATCAGATCTCAGTACCGAAGAAACGGTGGAACTCAACTCAACATATAGAAAAGTCCTGAAATGTTTGAAATGTTACTTGGGTAACCGCAGTATTCACAGCTAAAATAAATACACTAGTGACTATACTAAGCAGACGTGCTGAGAAGTGAACATGTAAGCTGTCGGCAGCTGAGGGGGGCAGGGGGATGGGTGTGTAGGGGGGGGGGCAGACTCATTTAAAGACTTCAGAATCACACTGAGGCCTTTTAGCCGTGCGTTTTCCTCCCGGCAGCCGGTGTTTGTCAGCGAGCTCGTACAAAGATGAATGCTCAATGAGACACACGCGGATTGTTCTGAACCCGACACACAGCGTCGAGTCATACTGGGTAAATATCCTCAGGTTTCACTGCCGTTGACCCCCCACCAACCTCCCCCCACCTCAACAGCCTTAAATCCTTCAGGTTAACCCCCACAACGTGTTCTTTGGGGCACATTTTCACCCCGCCGACACTTCAGCGGGTGTAACGTGTAGAAAGTCATTTGTCAGGCACAAAGACGGCTTGTTCCCTCTTCATCTTCACAGTGGAGGTCAGTCGACTGAGTAGGTGTGTGTGTGTGTGTGTGTACAGGTATGTTTCGCTCAAAGAAATGTCTGTAATAGTGGAAGTAAAACATGTTTCACCCGCGTGGATCTTGGAGCAACAAAGCCCGGGAGGAAGGGAACTTTTCCTCCATGAGACCTGCACGGCTGCAACAACGGCTTCGACCCCGTGTGGATCAAGCGTGTGTGTGTCCAGTATTACTGTGTACTGTCTTTGCAGCAGGCCGGGGGGACATGGCACACGGTGGGAGCAGCCAGATAAGACCGTTGGTCTCGGTCCCCTGCATTGTCACTCAGTGAAAAGAGAAAGTCTCAAAATGAAGCAACTGCATCACTTCGCAGTTTCCACTAACGGACCAGCGTGAATAAATCGCTGCTCGTTGTCAGATAAATTAGCCTGAATAAACGCTGAACCGTCACGCGTCTCGTTTCTCGCTCCATTGTCCGCGTGCTGATTTGTAACGAGATGCACTATGAGTGCAGATGTTGCATCCAGGTGTTCTTTTACTGGATCGACAGCTGGTAAAAGCGTGGAGCTGAACTCCGCGTCCGGCGTCCCCTCCTCGCTGCTTTGACCAGAAGCGCTCCCAGCGGCTCCGGTGAGTCACATTACAGAGTATTTTCCTTTCATGTTAGTTTCCACCTCCACTCCGAATACATCAGACGGATTTAGTTGCAAGTACTTAGTGTAAAACAAGTCGCAACTGTACAACAAGTTTCTCCACACGCAGATGGAAGCATTTCAACCGATTGACAGACAACAAATGAGGAAGCATTTCAACCGATTGACAGACAACAAATGAGGAAGCATTTTGATGGTTGTTGGCGGGTCTTTGCCCGCGAAATACGCGAAATGACCACGAGGCAGGAAGCGCATGAGATCGTAGTTTCTATGACGACGGCCATTGCTGCTGTGAAGCCTTGAGCTCGGCTTTTTGTCGCTCGCCCGCTCGTTTTAAATATATAGCGGGTGCGACATTTTTTTTTTTGTCTGTTAAAATAGTGCAAAACTTTCAGAAATGGAAAAGATACTAAAGTTGTACCGCAAAAAAACATCTCCCAGAATAAACGACGCCGCGGTCGTGACCTGTCGCTCAGAAGAAAAGCGTACTCTGCTTTACGGTCTTTGACTGTAAACGGAACCATAATTTACAAAAAATAAACATCATGCTGCGTTGGAGAGGACTTAAACCCAGTAATTGAGAGCATGAATTCACCGCTCCCATCACCGGTAGCTCCCCGAATCCTTTTCAAAACATCTGTATTTGCATCTGGAGGCACTTTGGATAAACGTCAGCTAGATGAACTCATTGTTTAAAATGTCCAATATTAAATCAAATAAGAGCCGGGGTCATTTTCAACCAAACGTGGGGACGCGAACACGGTTCTGCTGTGTGAAAGACCCGCTGTGTGTGATCAAACCATTTCCTGTACGTGTAATATAATACTTGGCAATAAAAAAAATGGCTTCTTCTTCTCCTCTGTTGTTTCTGCGGGTCACAGGGAGGAAACACGCTACAGTACACGGCTTTTCTTTCCTCTGGTTTCTGGTTCCGTTTCCTCCACCGTGTAGCCGACGCGCTCAAAAGATCTGAAGAGGGATCGAATCCCACAAAGTCGCTGACGGTTTTATGGCGTCTGAGCTTCGTCTCATCTGTCTGCAGGAAAGGTTTCACGTCTCAAATCTAAAAGAAAACACCACAGCGTCCGACTCCGCTTTATTTAATCACGCAGAACAAAAGGAAAGTTATAAAAAAAACAAAAAAAAAAAACTTCAGTGTAACTGAAGACGCTTGAAGCAACAGTGAAGTTGGAAAATGAAGATGTGAAGCAGCAGAGAGCAGCTTACTGAGGAGGAAGTTGATCTAATCTGTTATCTCATTTACATCAAGAGAAGAGGAACGTGTTTGAGTGTCCTTCGTTCAGCTGGTTTCTACTCTACATACACACGCATTGTTGCTCGGCTCTGGTTATTTTGTCTTCTGCTTTGTCAGAAAGGGAGAGTGTGGTGTGTTCGGTCAGAGCTGCCATCGACCTTCCTCCTCCTCCTCCTCCTCCTTCACCTTCCACTTCTGCCCCCCCCACACACACTCACCCACCTTCCTCACATGGAGGCACAGGTGGCTGAGCTGCACACTGCAAAGAATACCAATGCAGACAGTGCACAGACAAATGAAACAGAATGGAGCACAAGGTGCAAACAGTCGGTTATAAAAGGATGTGGTTGAGAACATGGTACGGATTTATAGTTATGGACCACGACCATTTTACTGTTTTTACTCTTCTGAGAAAAAGCTGCGCTGACAAACATGTTTCTAATGCGCCGTGTGATCCGAAGGGAATCGCTCGTGTGATCAATTGTTCGTTTCCTCAGCTAACCAACTCGTTGCGCTGACGGCGTTGGGCCCTGACAACCGCCATGACTCAAGCTGTCATCGGCTCATCCCCCAGCATGCACCAGGCTCATTTCCCGTCGGCCCGTCAGTCAGCAAGCCACTCTGTTACCGACAGGAGGCCAGGTGGGAAACAGCAACATGCAACCCCTGACGACGGGGAGTGTGTGTGTGTGTGTGTGTGTGTGTGTGTGTGTGTGTGTGTGTGTGTGTGTGTGTGTGTGTTCATTTCTAGGAGCATTTTTTTTAAATCGCTTGGGATCGCTGAGTGGCCAAAGTGTTATTTGTGAGAAAGATTTAAATAATAACGAGGTCACTGCAGTCATGCGCTGAGCTGAAATGAGCTTTGGGGATTCTTCAAATATTTTGCTCTATTTATTTGTTACGTGACAGGAATGTGAGGAATGTCCACCGCATTCCAAAAAGTCGTAAACTCCGTCCCACCAAAAAGAAAAGGCAAAATAACTTTTCACTCGTTCTTCTGATCGTAGACAGTCGGCCGGTAAAAATAAATCATCTGTCCTTTTGGGCCTTTAGAAACTGGGATTATTTCAAATGTTTTGTGCACAAAAGAATGAATTGAGCCAATAATAATCAATGAAAATAACATTGTTCAAAATTAACATTTTCCTGATTATTCACACATAGTTTTACTGAAGTAACTGAATGAATGTAAACATGTTTAGAGCTATGACGACTTCCTGTTTCAGGGTCAAGTGCACAAACCTCCTCTTCAAAACAGAAGGTTGGTTTAGTTTTAAGAAGGTTATTTCAGAATGTCATCTGAAAGAGTTGTTCAATCAAACCGCTGAGTAAACTGCAGAGGGGAAAGGATTAAAGTCCCACAGTCTATTCCAGTCATAAAGCAAAATGTCAGCATCGAATGGAAGATAAATCATCTCGTTCTTCTGCTTTTGGCGCACAAACTGTTTCAAATGTAAATTTTACATTTGCTGTTATTTGTATCTGATAAAATAGTTATTATTGGGGGAAAAAAGCAAAGAGCAGCTCATAACTGACTTTTGTACTTCAGTGAATGCATCTGAAGTGCAGTCTTTTCCCATGAGGTGTTTACATTATTTTGTCCAACCGCTGTACATTCTGTCCATGTCTCTGGTAGAAACATCAGTAACGCGCACACACACACACACACACACACACACACACACACACACACGCATAGAGAGAAAGTGCGTGTGCAACCTTTCTTTGGGGTTTCTCAGCCGTCTGCTGCAGGTGGCCGGGCGGTCGGGTTACAACCCCATGTGAAAGTGCACAAATACACACACACACGCGCACACACACACACACACACACACACACACACACACACACACACACACACACACACACACACACACACACACACCTCTCCTTCCATGACATATGAAAAATTCCTCTGGATTACTTCTAATTCTTGCGACAGATGCACATGGTGGATAGTGGTGTGCGTGTGTGTGTGTGTGTGTGCGTACGTGTGAGTGTGTGTGAGTGTGTGTGT